TTGTAGCAGATGTGTGGAAAATTTTCCTACATGGTTCCAATCTACAAAAGTGGCAGCAGGGAAATCCCCCCTCAATTATAGACCTTTATCATTGACTAGTGTAATAGTCAAAATATTGGAAAAAATAATTAAAACTAAATGGGTAGAACACCTGGAGAAAAAAAAATATAATATCAGATATACAGTATGGTTTTCGATCTGGAGGATCCTGTGTAACGAATTTACTCAGTTTCTATGATTGAAGCCACAGAGATTTTACAGAAAAGAGGTGGTTGGGTTGACTGCATCTATCTGGACCTAAAAAAAAGGCTTTCGACAGAGTTCCTCATAAGAGGTTGTTCTGGAAACTGGAACATATTAGAGGGGTGACAGGTAAGCTTCTAACATGGATGATTTTTTTTAAATGACAGAAAAATGAGGGCAGTAATCAGAGGCAAAGTATCAGACTGGAGACATGCCACAAGTGGAGTACCACAATGTTCACTTCTTGCACCGGTAATGTTTATTATCTACATAAACGATATACCAGATGGAGTACAGAATTATATGAACATGTTTGCTGATGACGCTAAGATAATAGGGAAGATAAGAAACTTATATGATTGCCATGCCTTTCAAGAAGACCTGAACAAAATAAGTATATGGAGCATCACTTGGCAAATGGAATTTAATGTAAATAAATGCCATGTTATGGAATGTGGAATAGAACATAGACCACACACAACCAATAAATTATGTGAGAAATCTTTAAAGATGTCTGATAAAGAAAGAGATCTAGGGGTGGTTCTAGATAGAAAACTATCACCTGAGGATCACATTAAGTACATTGTGCGAGGGGCCTATGCCACACCTTCTAACTTCAAAATTGATTTTAAATACATGGATGGAAAAATACTAAAGAAATTGTTCACGACTTGCAGGCGATGAGTCACAATAAAGTGGCTAAAGTATGTTGACCAGACCACACACTAGAAGGTTAAGGGACGACGACGTTTCGGTCAGTCCTGGACCATTCTCAAGTCGATGCTGTTCACAACTTTTGTTAGGCCAAAGCTAGAATATGCACCGGTTGTGTGGTGCCCATATCTTAAGAAGCACATCAACAAACTGGAAAAGGTGCAAAGACATGCCACTAAGTGGCTCCTGGAACTGAAGGGCAAGTGCTACGAGGAGAGGTTAGAGGCATTAAGTATGCCAAAACTAGAAGATAGAAGAAAAAAAAGACGATATGATCACTACATACAAAATAGTAACAGGAATCGATAAAATTGACAGGGAATAATTCCTGAGACCTGGAACTTCAAGAACAAGAGGCCATAGATTTAAACTAACGAAACAAAGCTGCCGGAGAAATATAAGAAAATTCACTTTTGTAAACAGAGTGGTAGACAGTTGGAACAAGTTAGGTGAGAAGGTGGTGGAGGCCAAAACCGTCAGTAATTTCAAAGAGTTATATGACAAAAGAGTGCTGGGAAGACGGGACACCATGAGCGTAGCTCTCATCCTGTAACTACACTTAGGTAATTACAACCCACCAGCCAACACAACCCACCAGCCAACACAACCCACCAGCCACCACAACACACCAGCCACCACAACACACCAGCCACCACAACACTCCAGTCACCAATACACAACAGTCATCAACAAAGACCAGTCACCCACACAGCAGTCACCAACACGCATACCTGTCATTAACACTGGTGATACTCACTAACTACCACCTGTACCCCAACAACCTTCCCTCACCCTTTAAGTTAATTCCCCTGCCATATAACTCAGATGACTGAACTCTACAACCATACAAGTTGGACTCGAGTTTCTCACAAAAATCACATTACAAAGACTGAACAAATGTTGGTTTAAAATGTATTGATAAAATGTATTTAACTTGACTCATTATTCACAAATATTAACCTTATACCTTATATTTGCCTCGCCCTTTCCCCACCCACTACATCAATATGTGTGTGGTACGTATGGTGATGTGATGGTATTGTTATGATATAAGCGATGGTGTATGGAGCACGTCACCGTACACAACCATACTCTTTAAGCTCTATAACATACACCAAAGTTATATTTTGACTTGCTTCATGATGGGTGAATGTACGTGGCTGCCTGTGAAGACCACCCAACACTGACATAGACACACACTCTAAGGCTTGGACTGAGTAACTGTGATGTGCCTAGAACTCACTGAAAGGCACGCAAGTCACTGTGACGCGCTTAGACACGCACTGTAAGGCACGGACCAAGTCACAATGGCGTGCCTGAGACAGGAAACTCACAAGATAAAAAGTGACGCTTCATAACGCCCCCCGGGACAGAAACGTCGTCATTTTCAATACATTCCATAAGCATCTGTTGGACGTGTGGCTGTCTTCCTTACTGACCAGCAAAACTGAATTTGAGACCACCCTCACTTGAGCAATAGATTTTGATTTATTAATTGTTTTTTGTATTGACTATCCATGAGCTCATTGATAAAGTCTGCAGAGTGTTGTAAGAAGGTTACTGAAGATACTATTTGTTCTCCGAATTAGCAAATGCTAATTCAGGTGAAAGCGGCTATGACTCAAGACGAAAAAGGAACAAAGCCTTGATAAATGTTGTATTGCAATATACTGTACTTCCAAGGGTGGACCTTTGACCCATAGTTGCTGGATGCTGTTCTCTCCTGGCCACATAGATACATGTTGAGCTGTATCTTGGATACATAGAACTAATCACAGTGAGGTGTGAGGTATGATGGACCACCTGCCAAACATCCACTGTGAGGCGAGAGGTAGGGGAACCCCGTCCTCACCCCCCCACTGTGAGGTGTGAGGCAGGGAACCACCACCACCTCACCCCCCTCACTGTGAGGTGTGAGGCAGGGAACCACCACCTCACCACCCAGTATGAGATAGGGGACCACCTCCTCACCACCCACTGTGAGGTGTGAGGCAGCACCTGGTCTCTACCTGTCAGATGCCACGCCAGACACACTTGCGATAGTCTCTAGTAACGATGAAACAGACTCATTCATAAACCTGCGAGGATATCCGCCATAGTGCAAGCTTATTTGGAATTATAATTGTCATTTCTACAAATTAAAGAATACTGTAATTGGTTTCCTTACAAGATGGTTGACGTGGGGTTACCATGGAGACATGACAAGTGTTAATACTATACTTAAGGGATACCTAGTGTTCCTCCCCCCCACCTTATCTTACCTCAGACTGTCATACAAGACAAACATGAGTTTTATATATATTTCAAAATGTTATATACAGAATGATGACAATACCAATATATGTTTGGTGCTCTCCTCTTCCGCCTGTTTTTGAAATTTGTCCGTGACATCCGCTGTTTGCCATCATATTTTTTACCTTTAAGCTTTAGGTCATGTGTAAGTCTACTCCTCGCCAGCAGGACACAATGATACATGACACACATATTTCACTTGTTTAAAATATATTGGCGCATGACGGGCAGGTCAACACCTGTTACTCCACTCGCCTTGGGGCTGTTGTTGTTGACTTGCCATGCATGGTGCAGTGATTTGTTAGGGAGCCTTGGTCGTGCGTGTGACCCCTTTGAGTCGTGACAGCATACTAACCCCCTTGCACACTGCTGCCACGGCTATATATAACCTTCCCATGTGGATGGTGGATGATGTTACCTTCATGTGTGCCGTGTCTAAAACATCCATATAATACCTTATGAGATACTGGTATAATATAAGTGATGTTAAAACAAGGCAGGAGATAGCTAGCAGGGCAAGAAATAACTAGCAAGGCAAGAGATGGATAGTATGGCAGGAGATAGCTAGCAGGGCAGGAGATAGCTAGTAGGGCAGGAGATAGCTAGCAGGGCAGGAGATAGTTAGCAGGGCAGGAGATAGCTAGCAGAGCAGGAGATAGCTAGCAGGGCAGGAGATAGCTAGCAGGGCAGGAGATAGCTAGCAGGGCAGGACTTAGCTAGCAGGGCAGGAGATAGCTAGCAGGGCAGGAGATAGCTAGCAAGGCAGGAGATCGCTAGCAAGGTAAGAGATAAATAGCAAAGCAGTAGATAACAAAGCAGCAGATAGCTAGCAAAGCAAGTGATAGCCATCTAGAAAGCAAATACAGGACCACTGTGAGGTAGTTAACTATGACAACTAATTTAGGCCATAACCAAACTAGGTGTTAATCCAAATAGTAGCTAATCCATGTCCTAATTATCAGCATAGTTATTAACTCAGGCCAGAAAGTAGTTAATTAATCCATATGTTATTTAATTAATCCAAATGATGGTGAAATATTCCAGATTCAAAATAAATAATCAATTATTTGAAATAATCAAGATGATATGTAAATCCTCAAGTTACAAGTTAATTAATCCAAGTGATAGTTAGACCATATGTTAGGTGTGTGTGTTAAATAGTGTATGTTAGGTATATTTTAGTTTCAAGATCTCACTATAATTGCTAGTGGAAGTGATAGGCAGGTCGTACAAGTGCGCAGGAGTCCTCAAGCACTTTAGTATCTACTTACGAAACCTGTGCATCTCTCCTCTGTTGTGGAATCATAGTTTGCATTTATTAAGCAGTCTATGAGCACCTGAGCCCTACGCAGTAGTCTACAAGAATGATAACCTCGAGTCGAGAACGATCTCGTAGCGTTTCCCAGCTCGTAAACTGTTTAGTAAATTCACACTATGCCGCCACATGATTGTGGAAAGATGAACAGGTTCCGTAAGTGGAGAGGTAAATGCTTGGCGAGTCCCGGCCAGGAAGGGGATATGGATGGTCAGACTAGTATTTCTTTAAATATTCATTAGTGTATCATACATAATAAGACAATATAGACAATATTTTGAGTTTCCTCAGTTTGTGAATATATACATATACATAGAGAGAGCTATCATCATTAATGTAATAGTGAGCCATGATTCATGAGTATAACTGAGTGGAGGAGGCGAGTGAGGAGTGTTGGTGAGGTTCTAACGGACTGTTGGTGCGGGGCTGTGGACAGGACAACAAGCTGGGCGACATCTGCTTCTCCCTGCGCTACGTGCCTACGGCCGGCAAGCTCACTGTGGTTATCCTCGAGGCCAAGAACCTCAAGAAGATGGACGTTGGAGGCTTATCAGGTCAGAACCCCCAATCCACATTTTCTTGTCTTTTTTTTTCAACAATTTAATTTAGCCTAACCTAATCTAACCTAACATAGCCTATTCTAACCTAATCTACCTAACTCAACCTAAGCCAATCTAACCCCTAACCTAATCTGTAGAGGGATATCTGGCTTTTTCACAAATTTAACCAAAGTTAACCTAAGTTTATCCTAAGTTATACCAACACAAAACCTTGTATTGCATTAAGTAAAGACTCCTCGTGAATATATTGTTGTTAAAGAATTGACCACATGAATACACATTACACAGTGTTGATATATGGCTAAATACACCAGGGGTCAGGATATTTATCCAACCACTTACGAAACCTATACGTACATCTCTCCTTAATCATGGCGACTTTGTCTACATTTATTAAACAGTTTACAAGCGTCCAAACTTCACAACTCAAAGTTATCATCGGTACAAACAACTTCTTAGTGCTTTGGAGCTCATAAACTGTTTAGTAAGTGTCAACAAACCCACCATGGTTGAGGAAAATACGTCAGGTTTTGAAAATAAATGCTCGGCGAATCCTGGACCAGGATAGCGCGATATATATAGTAGATGCATATCTACCCCTTTCTACACAAAGGTAGAAAGTAGATATGTGCCTCACGTTCAGTAGAAAGCACCAGCACATCATGGTGTATGTTGGTGGGCTCAGCCGGCAGCAGAGGATCTTGCTGAGGGATACATCTTTTTGAGGGATACATCTTGCTGAGGGATACATCTTGCCGAGGGACACATCTTTCTGAGGGATATTTCCTATCAAGGGGTATATCCTGCCAAGGGATATATCTTGCTGACTGAGATCTAGATGCAGTCACCTGTTTGTTCATGCATTGTGTATGTGTCTTGATGAGTACAAGCGGTTGTCATTCGTGTGTCGGCAGATCCGTACGTGAAGATCTGTCTGATTCAGAACGGAAAGCGGCTCAAGAAGAAGAAGACAAGCATCAAGAAGTGTACTCTCAACCCTTACTATAATGAATCCTTCTCCTTCGAGATTCCCTTTGAACAGATTCAGGTGAGTTGACCTTGTTTCGTGATGGTTGATTATATTTGCTTATATCACCCAAGTCCTCCCACACTGTGTCACCCAGGCTCACCCACACTGGGGTCAACCCAGCCTTTCCACACTAGGTCACTCCCAGTGGGATCACATGACCACCCCTCATACACTAAGTCACCACACAATGTCATCCCCACTAGTCAGCCCAGCCCTCTCCCACTTAGTCACACCAGCCCACCCTCATTGGGATACACTAGTCATTCCCCAGTGGGTCACTCCCACTGGGCCAACCCATTCTTGGGTTACCCAAGCCCTAAGTCGCAGTGTTATTAATTAGGGTCTTCTATTCCGGCCTGCAGAAGGTGAATTTGCAAGTGACGGTGGTGGACTACGATAGGATTGGCACCTCTGAGCCCATCGGGCGGTGCGTGCTGGGCATGAACGCCTCGGGCACAGAGCTCCGCCACTGGTCTGACATGCTTGCCTCCCCGCGTCGACCTATCGCGCAGTGGCACACGCTCAAGGACCCGGAGGAGGCAGACGCCATCTTAACGCAGAAGTAAACGGGTAGGTTATGGCAACACTGTTTTATCTGACCAAATAGCACACTAAAAGATTGGTTGGTCCTAGTGGCAACTAGAGTTTAAGTGCATAGTGTTAATAATTGTAAGTTCATAGTAACAAAACTGGTTGCTGCGAGTCAGGAGTCCTGATGCAGGCTACTGAATGGAAGAGGAAATCGTCCTAGAATCTGTGAAAATGCCTGGAGGTTTATATCACACTGAACCTGTCTCCTGAAGCCAACATCAAATGAATCATGGCATTTACATTGCAGGCGATGAGTCACAATAACATGGCTGAAGTATGTTGACCAGACCACACACTAGAAAGTGAAGTGACGACGACGTTTCGGTCCGTCCTGGACCATTCTCAAGTCGATCATCGACTTGAGAATGGTCCAGGACGGACCAAAACGTCGTTGTCCCTTCACTTTCTAGTGTGTGATCTGGTCAACATGGCATTTACATTCTTCTATCATATTTCAGAACTTTTTCTCGTGTTCAGAATCAAATAGAGTTGGTCAGTTCTATTGGAACTTCTATTGTTGGAGTTCAGTCTAGGCCTACTCTTTCCTCTGTTGTTTTGCCCAAGTCAAACATATTTACATCTTCCACATGCTCCATTTCAAACATCTTAATAATTGGATGTCATGTTGGACATTTTGACCTCCAGTCCAGGTTCTTTCTGCACTTGAGTTGGGTTGGTGAGCTCCATGCTCTCCTTCGGTGTGCCGAGTTTTCAACGTTTGACTCGGGTGACAATTTTGTACATCTACAGCCCCGGTTCTTGTTATTCTGGTTTAATTTATCTGGGAATTAACTATACCTTATACTGTACTTTATGACGGCCTTTCACAGATTTCTTCAGGTATCTTGAGCTTCTAGCGTTAATGTCTGTGTGTTTGTTCTCATTTATTAGTCACATCTCTCGGCTGTTTCATCGCGAGCAGAGATTCAGTCACCCTAAGAGCTTACCCCTGTGCCCATAACCTCAGGAAGTACGCGATGATAGCAATGTTCTTCTCTTCGATGACATGTAAGGAGATCCTGTCATGGCAGTTTGGAACTATAACTGAACATTTACTACTCGCTTCCTCATTGCTGTGCCCTATCCTCATCTTCCATGTAGTGGACCTATGCCGCCTCCTTATCATTGGATTGCATTTCAGCAGTTGGGTTAACCAGTCTTTGGCTATCACACCCAAAGCTGTTATCTATTATTATTTGTTTCATTATTTTTCCATATAACGGATTATTTCTTTCATTATTCTTTCTGAATAATGAAAGAAATCACTTGTAAAGGAGTAAAAATCACAACCCCTAACCAAAACATTGTCATCATCATATACTATAAAACAAAGAAGACCTCTGACCTCCTCATTAAAAACAGGCTGAAACCAACTAAGAACCCTTTACAGAAGTTGAACGTGGTATACATGTCCACCTGCCCCCACAAAGGACAATCTTCAATCTAAGTACTGTACATAGGTATGACATCAACCAAGCTCACAATGTGCTTGACCTGTCATCTTCAATCAGGTGCCCCTAAAAATCGCATGAGAGAAACCAAATGACATCACCCTAACAAGAGAAATGCTTAATAAAAACACCTGCATATTAGACAAAACACAAGATGTAAGAGGAAAGAACCTTCTTGAAGCCCATCACAGAAAAGTTAACCAACCCATCATATACAGTATACTCAAATAACATAGTATACTTTACCACCGTGAGAGCGAGAGCAAGGCCGGAACACGAAGCTGCCAATGATTATGTCGCTGCCCAAAACGTCATGCCCACAACACCTGACTAATCTTTGTAGGTATAGATTATTGACCCATGCTTCTTACTTTTATTACTCACCCCTCACCTATTTGTATGTACCTGACCTCCCAGCAGTTTGGGGACTTGAAGTGGGGAGAATGTGTTAACAGTATGTGTTAACAGGTTGTTGATTGCTGGTCTTGACTTTTTGATGTGTAGACTGCCCTCGCTGAAGATTGGACATTAGCGTGGCCCAACACATCAAAAAGTCAAGACCAGTAATCAACAACCAGTTAACACATAAGTACATTCTACCCACTTCATGACCCCCAAACCAACACACAGACAGTAGAAGCACGAACATAGGCTATTAATAATGGCCCTAATAATATCCATTATGTTCCATCCACCTGTTCATCTCAATTATGTCCTGTACCACCTCACCACAAGAGAATATAAGCTCTTGCTAAGGCATTGTAAGTTTGTCTTTGAGAATGTAAGGCGTGCCTTGTTAAATGCATCGATAGGTGTCAGACCATAATGTGAAAATGAACTTTGTAGACTTTATTTTTCTACTTCCATCGACACTGAAGAAAAACGTAAGAAATATTGAGAAGATTCGTGTTAGAATCATTAATCTTACCCTTTCAGTTATATTCAACATTATATATATATATTATATATACAGACACACATACTGTACTGTATATATTTATATATATATATATATATATATATATTGTGAAACTACTTTTAACATCATTGTATGTTTATTGCAGTTGGGTGTCACCGGTAGCCTGAGAGGGAGCAAGATGGCCTCTACAAAACCCAGAAGACTGAGCAAACTCTTCAGAACTGAGGATATAAACATTATAACAGTGCTGGATCTACAAAGCAGGACCGAATTCCTCACTTTGTTCAGTGAACTGTGGTTCTTGATAAACGTTTCCTGTTATTAGACCAGGTTATAGTTGTATAAAAGCCCTTTCATGATATTTGCAACAACATTTTTTGTGTATTAAGATAATCAACAATTTATAGTTAGGATGAAGAATAAGGTAGAGCTATCAGGCTTAGAGTGTCGACAGTGAACTTAATGACTCTGTGTAAAGAAATATAAAATATTCTACTTATTAATTAAGTTAAATAGTCCAGAGATCATTTTTTTTAAGTGAATCATTCCAGGAGCTTTATAGGAATTCGGTCGGACGTCATCTTGCATGTTGAAGATTATAAATTAATGGAAATGACAAAAATGTCAAATTTGCAACAAATTCCTAATGTCTGCGAGAGAAGTGGGCCGCCATGTTATACAGAATAAATCTAGCGTAAATGACCAGAGCCACAGCCACAGGAGATTCCTCAGAGCAAATCAAACTATTTCCTACACCACTTCTGGATGTGCTCCATCTGGCTGCACAAGGTTTAGGCTACTACAATGTACCAAACAACTAAAGAGAGTCTCATGTCATATTTTAAATTACATTTTTTTTATGAAAATGAATCAATTATGAATTTGTTTTGAGAGATCAACAGTAATCCATAAGGCTTAATCTACTGAATCTCTATATGAAGTTTGAGTTCGAGCTCTTCAACAAGCTCAACAGAGAGCTTGGGGAGGGTGCATGCAGCCAGGTGGAGCTTGCATCTCTTGTCTTCTACTGAGGTTGTTGCCACACTTGGGTTTCCATAGATATCTTGTATCGTATAATGCCTCAACCCCTTTCGGGGGGTACCAATATCAACCTGTCGCCTTTCTCACTTCCAAGACGCTGTCTATAGTATGGCTGCTGAAGGAGCTAGCTCAAGAGACCCTCCAGAATAGTCTTCTAGTTAGTCTTCAGGCCCACCTGACTAAGGAACCAGTTACTAGGCTAACTAGTGCACCAGCTAGATGTTAAAGGTAAAGACCTGATAAAGAGAGAGATGTCTTACTAGGCCAGAAACTAGCAGGGATTTTTTTTTAATAAAATGTTAACTAATACTAGCTTTGGGCTGTGTTAACTAGCTCTTGGGCTGTGTTACCTAGTACTAGCTGTTGGGTCCAGGTTAACTAGTACTAGCACTTAGAGCCAGGGACTATTGAGAGAAACAACTATAGCACTCGAGCGGTCCCAGCGAGGAAGCGGCAGAAGCTGTTCTGTTAATTAGTGAAGATTAGTAAATGTTGTTGTCGTTTATGATTTCGAAGTTACTTTTGAGTGGTGACTTTCCTTGATGCACAAGGTATGTGCATCCTGGCTTCAACCAAAGATTATTATTAAAACTCTATGGTGGTACAATGTAGCTGAGTAAAGAGAACCACTTCATCAGGGGGCAAATGTGGGGAAAATGATGCTATGTAACGCAGGATCGACGTTGTTCTAAGGTTGATTTAATGTTGGGCTAAGGTGATCGTACATTGTTCAAAGGTTGAAGCAATGTTGATCCAAGGTTTATTTTAATGTTCCAAAGTTGATGCAATGGTGGTCCAAGATTGACCTCTAGTTGTTCCAAGGTTGATGCAACATTAATCCAAGGTTGAGCAAACGTTTTCCATAGTTGATGGAACGTTGGTCCAAGGTTAATTTATCATTGTTTGAGCATGTTTTGTCCCCTGGGGTGCACCAGAAGGGCAAACTCTGTCTGGTCCAGTCAGACTTTGCCCATAATCTAATATTCAAAATGTCTCACATCATTTCTGGGTCTGTAATTGCCTTAGGAAAATTAAGAACATTTTGATGAAAAAGCAAAAAAAGTTCTGTATAAGGGTATAAAGGTGTATTTTTACCCCCTTCCCCCATCTCTCCCTCCCCAACTCACCCCTAAACATAAATAAGCTGAAGCATTTGTATACTACATATACATATGTATTACTTAATACTGGATTCTCCAAAACATTGAGCTCGGCAGTGGTGTATATTTTATCTGATAAAATATATTTCAGCATTTATGCGTCTATATTTCAGTTTACATGTGTATTGTCAATACACTCGTTTATACTTGTATATTTAACTGTTTTATTCATTTATTTATTTATGTAGATGTAGGAATTATGATTTACTGCCTTGAATAAGTAAAGTTTTGGATAATCAAGTGACATCATCATTCATGCTAGCCAATGAGAATTTTAATCTGCATTGTGTTTGCAAGTTAGCATTTGCAGTAGTGTTTTCATTAGGCTTTCATCAAATTTTTGAGTATAGAGAAATCATTCATTTTATATATCTGCTATGTTTCGGAAAGTAAATGTTTATATTAAAGGATACGTAAACATGTATAAACATTGACAATGTTCCATTATAAACATGAATGTACAGTAACCTAATTAGGTCTATCTATCTACTCTCACATGTTCTTCTCTAGACACCAGACATAATAGGTATAAATGAGGAAACCCCCAATATTATTATAGTCCTTTCTTGTGTTCACAAGTGTATTTCTTACCTTGTGTAAGCTGACCGTGGGTTCAAGGTGCCATATAGACTTTATATATATATATATAATTTATATGTTCATTGAGTATCTGCTATACCTTGTATGTTTTATCAAAGCCCTGTGAGTCATTGCATCATTCATTATTGCTATTGAGCCTTTTTAACTACTTTTTTGATAGGAATTGTTGAACAAAAATAGTTTATAACAGCATGGAAACTTGAGTAGGGTCTACTGAGTGGAGTCTAAGATCTGAGAAAGTATGTACCCCCCCCTATGTATGATGTATGTTTGTACGTTGAAGCCACTATAAACAAACCTAACCAAACCCAATCTAACCCATTCTAACCAAACCAAACTTATCTTAGCCCAACCCAACCTAACCTAACTTATCCTAGCAAAAATAAGATACAAAATGTTGTTTTATATATGGTGTTGATGGTGTGTGACATCACTATGGTGTTCTAATGTTCATGCCAGTACAGGTTTTACACTACTGGATTACTTAGTGCAGGGAGGGTAGAGGTTCGTGTAGAGTTATGTCTCGCACTGTAGCAACTCCTTACTGCCCCATATCGCTACTTTACCTCAAATTATTTTAGCTTAAAACTATTGTAAATTAATTTTATAAAAACTGAGTCCATTTTAATCTTGTTTGAATTAGGATGAATATATTTGATAGGCCTGTAGACACAGGAGGTTGCATATAGGAAACGTGTTGGCTAAGATCGGAGGCAGTGAAACCTGGTATGACCAATGGCCTTCGAGTGGTCATGAAATATACCCCAATGATGATGTGGCCTCTGAGAGGTGTTTAACACTATGGTCAGCCCAGATATAACACATCAGTCTGTGACTTCCGTCAACTCTTTATTTTTGTCTTGGGTGTGATATCTTACTGGTGGAGTGTGAGGCTATGTTGTTAAAATTATGTGCACATTATCTCATATTAGATGGGGACAGGGTCCGGCCTGTTTCTCAACAACAATCCTCATCCATTGCCACATTTTGGTGTATTGTAGACCAGTTCCAAGTCCAGTCCAGTTGATAATGTTCTCACAAAGCAAACACACCCTATACGTGTGCACACGCACACATTCATTCACTCTTGCTTATTAATACTCAAGAATTCAGAAGAGAAGACTCGAGTAGGCATGACCAATCTTCCATCTTCATCTCACTTCTTCTGATCTTACTTGCACTCTCATCTAAGGAAAACATCTTCTCTGGGATCATCTAGGAGGCTTTTTTGCAGGGCTCGGTTAAGGAAGTTTCTTTTTTTTTTTTTAGGGATCATTTATAAAAAGTATCTATGGGACCCAAAATGAATGTTTGTCTCCAGGGCTAACGTACAGAGGATTGATGTGGAATTAATTTAGTGCACTTTTCCGGGGTTCATCAGATGGGGTTGCTCTGGGGTTCATCAGTGTTGTTCTCTGGGGTTCATCAGACAGGGTTGCTCTGGGGTTCATCAGATGGGGTTGTTCTTTGGGGTTCATCAGATGGGGCTGTTCTCTGGGGTTCATCAGATGGGGTTGCTCTGGGTCTCTCCAATGTTTACCCTCTAAGGAGGCTACAACAAGCTTCATACAAAAAGAACAAATGGGGTCTTCCACAGACCTTATTTAAGGAATATGCCTGATCGAGGGAAGGTTTGGGGAGGGGGGGAGGAGGGAAGGAGGTTTAATATGAGGGGTATTATTCAAAGGGTAACTTGATTATGGTTCATATGAAAGGTTTATTCTCTGGGACTAGTAAATGGGGTAACATATCTGGGGATGGGGTATGAGGGAGCTTGTTCTATGTATTTTCAACTGTGAAAGGAACACAAGGCAACACAACCCAACTTGGGGGGAAGACTGTGTTAGGCTCGAGTCAATGGATAGCTCTCTTGTCTACAATATAATCAGGGACTCCCAAGAGCTTTCTAGTGGGGTGCCGTCCTTTGTCTTGACCCAAATTGATCTCTCTCTCTCTGGTTCCTTTTGCTTCTCTTTATCCTTAAAAATATTTTCATCTTTCACTTTATTTGCAAATGTTCTTTTGCTCCCTATTGTTGAATGATTTATAACACCATTTCAGGTGTTATATTGACGTGGTGCAAGAGTGTAGCTGCCCTGCACTCCGCACTGTACCTCGCTCACTCCACCCCTCCACCGGCCTTCACATAACCTCAGTTTTTTGCATTATTACTGATCATTGACATTTTCTATTCTGCATTCCAGCTTCCTCAGACTTAGCCATGGAATTAGCAAACTGGTATATGATGCTGTCTGTCGCAATCTCTTCAAATTTACCTGAAGGTATATATTACAACCTTACGTGCGTCATTGCTTTGTATGTCTATATTTCTGTATAAAAGTGTATGTATGTATCCTAAACAAGAGCAAAGCAAAGCCTGAAAAAAAATGAATCCACTGCATTATAAATATATTATTTTCTGATACTGTTTGTGGCATAAATGTAATGTATCGCAAAAATGTGATGAAAATGATCCTGATGTTGAGTACTCAAGAGTGACAAGCAAAACATGTGGCAGATGATATTTAAGAATCTAATAATATGGTAAAGTTTTAATCATTAATGGCATAACTTTTTTACTAGGCCGGATCCTCTATGCATGATGAGATGAGCTTTAGATCCTTTTAAACCTCTTTATATGGCATTCCTGCGACAGAATGGTGTATGTCGTATCAAATTTCTAGTATAGTAGAGTTGGCACTTTTAAATTATTGTTTCTTGTGGTCACAACTAATTATAGTAATTCGTAAGTAATGTAATTAGAACAAATATTTATCTTGAGGGAAAAAGCATCAAAATAATTTATGAATAGGTTCACTCAGACAGTGGACCGAGAGCCTTACCGAAGAAGGGCTTAGAAGGTTGAAACGAACTAGTCCCGCCCTGGTTGATATGCCCCCCCTTCCTCTGTGTCTGGAATCACCCACACTCTTCTCCCTCTCTCAAGTAAAATAACAAAATATTCCCCTGCAAACTCCACCCTTGATCTTATTTCAGTTTGGGATTTTTGTTTGCCTTTATTTGAGAGCTTATTGTTTATATATCACCCAATTATAAATAATTTCTTTTGTGGCATTAGTCCTCCCCAGATAATGTTTAATGTAGATATATAAATGATCACGCGAGGAGAGACTAACTTAACCAGCACGTAGAGACAAAATCAGAAAGTGAGATGTGATCAGGTGTGGAGTTAGTGGGTGTGTGTTGTGTCATGTGGATGGTTGTATGTACAAGTCCGTCAGTTTTGTGCTCACGTGAGGAATGCATCATAATATATTAAAATCATGGCTGTCGTGCACGCCTCCGACCTCGTCCTGGGTGCTGAGGGCTCCTCTTGCACCAGAATCATATGCTGTCAAAGACACCCGTTGTTAACTTGTACATATACGAAGCAAAAGATATGTCACACGTGTTTATAAACTATACTGCGAGCATCACACGGCACCAGGCGTCATGTTGGGGGGCGTCGCATGACAGCGCTGGCAGCAGCAGCAGAGTCTATATAAAAACTGTGAGAGCGAGTGCACTCACACATCCAAACACATCAACAAAAATGGACAAACCAGTCCCGATGTTTGCTTGGTTGTTTGGATTTCAAGAGGTGGATAAAAGTGTTGTTTGTTTAGATATGTTAAATATGGATTAGGCGCGTCAACTACCTTCTTACAGAGCGGCAAGTCCTAACCTGAGTTGTGTAAAAATATTAGAAATAACAAATAATAAAATGTAATAAAATATTGTATTTTGTATGCCTATCCTATTTTTTTCTTTTATTATAATAGACCATTATTAAGGAAAATTTGCCCACCTACTTGTGCATAATCTTGGAAAAGGAAGAATACCAGCTCCTCCAAAGGATGGAATACTTCCTTCCTGAAGGCATTATTTACAACATCACTAATATGGAAGTCCACTTGTCCATCTCCTTCAGTCCTGGGCTGAGAACGTCCGTTACAGTACATGCCTGATATAATATACAGTACTGTAGCAAACCACATTATCTCTTAATGTGCCAGTTACTTAAATTATCAAAAAATTATTTCACATGTCAAGAAATTCTATTGCAACTACCTATAAGTTCTCCATAATCCCATAATCGCTAATAACACCTGCAATCTATTCACTAATCATTATTGATATCTGTAATTACATTAATACATGTTCCCCAACGTTTCCACAAATTATTTAGGACAGCTAAAAGCAAGCAGTGCGTTTCCCCATCAGACCAAATGATGATCAACCTACCAAGTGAACAGCAAGCTGTGACCAACACAAGGTCAGGTGGACACAGATAGAGCATGGTTGGGAATACAGAATCATTGGTCAAGTTTCCAACTCTCACACAAGAGGCTATAAGCCTTTTTACAGTGCATACAGTCAATCCAGGCCTTATTCCTGCTTCCCGCCCTCACCCACTAAATTCCAGCCTCACTCAAGCTCTCTACCCCCCCCCCCTTCCCCACCAAACAGGAGATACCTCTTCATCCTTAGGGTCATATACATCAGGACAAATTGGGGATGTTTGACAAGCCACCGGTTTCCTGTCCTCGTCGAGGCCACTATAGTGAGATAGTGGTCCCCTCAGGCTAAACATGTCGGCACAAGAAGAACCCTTACCATCACTGTGCCTCTTCAAAATCATTAAACACCAGTCTACCCACATAGCTGGGGTATATTCCCTCCATGCTGGATTTGATATTTACCAGGAAAAAGGAAGAGATATTTGACATTCAGTACCTTCCTCCCTTGGGTAAAAGTGGCCATGCCTTTTTGGGAATAAAGTATGCAATGCATTATAATTTAAAAGAAAATGAGGAGGTTGAAGCAGTTGAAAAACCTGATTTTAGGAAAAAACATTTTTGGGAACTTAAAAATTTCTTTAAGGAATTTCACTGGAAAGACTTGCTGTTAGGCATTGAAGTAAATGAGATGAGTGTCAAGTTTTGTGAAATATATGATAAAGGCACAAACAAATCTATACCAAAGGAGAGATGCAGACCTAGAAAACAGGATTGGTTCAACAGAAATTATGAGAGGGCCAGAGACCAAAAGACACAAAAATGGAATCAATATAGAAAGAGGTCAAACCCTCAAACATACCAGCGATACAAAGATGCGAGAAACAACTACACGGCAGTGAGGAGAGAGGCAGAAAGAATTGTGGAGAAAGGGACAGCGGACAAATGTAAAACAGAACCAGGCCTATTCTATAGATTCATCAACAACAAATTGCAGGTAAAGGATAATTTTCAGTGGTTGAAAAGGGGAAACAGATTCATGGAAAAGGAAATGTGTGAAACATTAAACAAAAAGTTCCTAAGTGTGTTTGTACACAATGAAACCTTCAGAGAACCAGGCACAATAAGAATTCCAGAGAACAACATTGAGCACATACAGATGTCTAGAGACGAAGTGAAAAAATGCTCACGGATCTTAGTAAGAGCAAAGCAGTTGGTCCAGATGGAGTTTCACCATTTGTTCTGAGAGAATGTGCACCTGAGCTCAGCATTCCATTTAAACTGATTTTTCAGGCATTCCTGTGTACAGGAGTCCTATCAGATGTGTGGAATAAGGCTAACATAATTCCAATCTACAAAAGTGGCAGCAGGGAAGACCCTCCTCAATTATAGACCTGTACCATTGACAAGTGTAATAGTCAAAATATTGGAAAAATAATTAAAACTAAATGGGTAGAGCACCTGGAGAAAAACAATATCATAAGACAGACAGTATGGTTATCGATTTCGAAGATCCTGTGTAACGAATTTACTAACTATCTATGATAGAGCCACAGAGATTTTACAGGAAAGAGATGGTTGGGTTGCTTGCTTCTATCTGGACCTAAAAAAAAAGGCTTTCAACAGTTCCACATAAGAGGTTGTTCTGGAAACTGGAACATATTGGAGGAGTAACAGGTAGGCTTCTAACATGGAAGAAAAATTGTGTCAGAAAAATGAGGACAGTAATCAGAGGCAATGTATTGGACTGAAGAAATGTCACAAGTATAGTGTTACAGGGTTCAGTTCTTACACCAGTACTGTTCATTGTCTACATAAACAATCTACCAGATGGAACACAGAATTATATGAACATGTTTGGTGATGATGCTAAGATAATAGGAAAGATAAGAAACTTTGATTTCTTATTTCAAACATGCTCTTGCTGAACATTGACAACCTGTTATTATACATACAGATTCGAAAACTGCCATTGAAACCTTGCAACAAGAACACATACGTGATAACATCCATCTGATCACAAATGTCATATCATTAATGCAAACACTCAAACATCAAGGCTGTCGGGTACGTATCAACTGGGTGCTAGGTCATGTGGGAATAATAGGAAATGACATTGCAGATGAAGCTGCAAAACTTGCAACTAAGATAAGAAATGTAAACATTTACATACCACAGAGTCTATCACAGATTAAGAAAGTAATTAGAAACAGAGCAATGCAAAAGATGTACAGTGACCACAACACAGCAGTTGCAACATCAGGATCTGCAGGTTGGTACAAGAATTCAACCAACTATGAACCACTTAGTTTGATGAAAGGGAACAGTAGAACAACAGAAGTACACTTACATCGTATCAGGCTTGGATACCCATGTGCATGCGAAATAGGCTTACAAGTACTGGAAGATGAGAGGAAATGTCAGCACTGTGGAGAAATGCCCGACAGACCACTGGAACATTATCTAACACAGTGCAGAGTTACAAATCCATTAAGATTTCAACTTGGATTCAACAGAGCAGAAGAAGTTGTTAAACACATGGGACAAAATCTTACTGAAGCGACCATACGAGTCATAAATACTCATACTCCGCCCCAAATAAAACAGAAACAAGCAACACTTAGTACGCCAGCCAGAGGCTTAGGGCCCGTGCAGGAATATCCCTGCAAAAACAAATCTTATTTCCTCTGGGGCCTGACAGCTGAGTGGACAGTGCTTGGGATTTGTAGTCCTAAGATTCTGGGTTTGATCCCCGGTGCAAGGTGGAAACAAATGGGCAGTTTCTTTCACTATGATGCCCCTGTCCACCTTGCAGTAAATAGGTACCTGGGAGTTAGACAGCTGCTACAGGCTGCTTACTGTGTGTGTGTGTAACAAAAACGAGGACACTAAGCCCAAAAATCATCTCAAGAGAACCTTAAGATAAATAATTGTCATGCCCTTCAAGAAGATCTGGACAAAATAAGTATATGGAGCACCACTTGGCAAATGGAATTTAATGTGAATAAATGCCATGTTATGGAATGTGGAATAGGAGAACACAGACCCCACAAAACCTTTAAATTATGTGAGAAATCTTTAAAGAATTCTGATAAGAGATCTAGGGGTGGTTCTAGATAGAAAACTATCACCTGAAGACCACATAAAGAACATCGTGTGAGGAGCCTATGCTACACTTACTAACTTCAGAATTGCTTTTAAATAAATGGACGGAGAAATACTAAAGAAATTGTTCAGAATGTTTGTTAGACCAAAGCTGGAATATGCAGCGGTTGTATGGTGCCCATATCTTAAGAAGCACATCAACAAACTGGAAAAGGTGCAGACATGCAACTAAATGGCTCCCAGAACTAAAGGACAAGAGCTATGAAGAGAGGCTAGAGGCATTAAATATGCCAAAACTAGAAGATAGGAGAAAAAAAGGCGATATGATCACCATGTACAAAATAGTAACAGGAAACGATAAAATTGATTGAGAAGAATTCCCAAGAACAGGAGGTCAAAGATTTAAACTAAAGAAAGCTGCTGAAGAAATATAAGAAAATTCACTTTCGCAAACAGAGTTGTAGACGGTTGAAGGTGGTGGAGCCCAAAACCGTCAGTAGTTTCAAAGCGTTACATGACAAAGAATACTTGGAATATGGGACACCACGAGCATAGCTCTCATTCTATAAACAAATCCACAAGGGCCGTGATGAGGGTTCGAACCTATGCAAGAGATGTTACCAGATGTGCCTTAGTCAACTGTAGCACGACATGATAAAAGAATTGCAACCTGGAGTGCTACTGCCCTCTGGAGGATCCCAAAGCAGAATCGGGGTTGCGCTTCACAATTGTGTGAAACCCCGATTGTGCTTCGGGATCCTCGTGAGGGCAGTAGCACTCCAGGTTGCAATTCCTTTACCATGTCATGGTACAGATGACGTAAGTCGCATCTGGGAACATCCCGTGCGTAGGTTCGAACCCTCATCACAGCCCTTGAAGATTTGTTCATTTGATATATCACACTATTGTGATTTCTGTGTGTATCTCATCCTGTAACTACACTTAGGTAATTACAGCTGAACCACACTGGGTCTGTCTCTCCAACCACTCACACTCAATGGCCTTACTTAAGCCATTCCGCCTCTTTCTGCCTCAATTTACGGCAGTAGGTCGTGTGGTCATGACCTTGTCGACCTATCTGTCACCCACTGGTGTAACCAGTTACATCAAATGTGCCGCCTGTTAGAATTTAACCTCTTGTTGCCCCTTGCCACAGGCTGCGTGTACCTGCACTTGTTGTTGTTATGGTAGAGAAAGATTCACTATAAATTATATTCACTCACACAATTAGTGGCGCTCACTAATAAACTAGCCCTCCTGGGCATAATGAAATTAATAACTCGTTGTATCTTCTTATATATTAGTAAATAAATAACAAATAACAAATCAATAACTAATTAACAATGTTATATACGTAATCCTTGAAATGTTCGGTGCTTTTGTTTTACGGCTGTGACGTTGGCTTAAGCATAAGGAATAACAGTATATGAATATTTGAAATTAACTACTCTGTGCTACAAAGAAATACAAGTCAATACTTGAAGAACATTGTTATTTTTTTAATAATGCAACATTCATTAAGACATACGAATTATACTTCTATTGTTGTTAAGCCAAGGGACAAGTTACGGTGTTTGGCGTCTGTGTTGTGGTGGAAGGCGGCGACTCCTTGTGGCACTACAGCACCCACCACCCACAACCCACACCCCGCCCACACCCCGCCCACAGTGTTCAGGTGAGTCCTGCCCCACGCCCTGGCAAGGGTCATGGATGGTGAGGAGGGTGGGCGAGCCTGTGTGGTGGCGGTGGCGTCCACAGGGATAACAGTTTCCATGGGCCCTGTAGCACAGTTGTCTACGTCCTCGGATTACACTCCAGGGCCGCAGGTTTCTTGAAGGAATGAAACGGCTGGGCTTCCTTTCCCCTGATGCCTCTGTTCACCTAGCACTAAATTGCCTTCTGGGAATTAGATAGTTGCTGTGGGTTGCATCCTGAAGGTCAGTATACTTCAGTATACTGGGTATACTGGGTACAGTATCGGGTCAGTATACTGGGTATACTGGGTACAGTATCGGGTCAGTATACTGCCCAAAACGCTGCGCGTACTAGTGGCTTTACAAGATTGTAAATACTATGCTATGTATTCTCACAAACCCAATGTACCTCCTTGTATATAAATAAATAAATAAATAACTTGGCCAATGAGAACCTTGATAAGCCTATAAATTATGTAAAAGTGAATGATGGACAGGTTGGTGGGGGGGGGGTTGCACTTGGCTTTATAACACTTATTAATAACACCTAAGAGCAACTGTTAATAAGTGGGAAGAGTTATACTGTGGGCACATTAACAATGGTAACTAGCATGTATAAATTTTTTGTGTCCTCCATGGACAGGGTTATTGATCTGTTATACATATAGTTCAGTGATATTTGAACAATGAACTGCAGGAGGTGATTGGAGTGCTTTTAAAAATTGTAATATAACCTACATACATATAACCTATGATGAATATAACCTATTCATCACAAACTACTGATTTAGGATGGTAATAGCTCATGCTATTGAAAAGGATATTGTAAATTGAATTAGGGCATTTTTTTATTTTTTAAAGGAAATAGAGGCAATGAGTTGTGCTGTATATCCAGGTTTCCAACTTAAACTGTACAGAGAAGTGACAGGAGGAGTGATGTGGCTTACAGGTGAAGTCACGACATAGTGACAACAGGTGTTGTTTCCATGTGGGAGTTACAGCAGCATCAGTGTCTCCAAGTAACTGTTACTTATGAAGGGAAAGGGAGAGCTGGAGTCCTAGCCAGGAGTCCCTATTGCAAAGAAGTCCCAGGCAAATGTTGCTGAAAAAAGGGAAGATGGTGAAGCTCCAGACAGGGCAGGATCCCAGACCAATGCTAGAATCATATTTGAATCAAGAATCAAACTAGAATCAAACTTTAAAATATATGAAAGATTGGCAGATGCAGTTTAATGCTGAGAAATATAGGGGTCTTGATATGCAAAAACATATTTATGGTCTATTAGTTGAGTTCTTGAAGTCAGTAAATCAATGAATAAATGTTACAAATAGGACAGATATTTTCTTGGATTCATATCTAGAAGTTGTAGTTAATAAAATGTCTAATGATATTCTTCAGCTTTATCTTGCTCTTGTTAGGCCCCAATTAGAATATGCAGTTCAGTTTTGGGGATTGTACCTTAGAATGAACATAAATTCCCTTATAAATTTGTAAAGGAGCATGATAAAATTAATCCTGGCCTTAGGAACCTCATTTACGAAGAGAGATGAAGAAACCTTGACATACTTTTTCTAGAAAGGTGAAGAGTAAGGGAGGACATGATTGAAGTATACAAATAAATGAAAGGATACAACAAAGGTAATAATATTAATGGTATTGAATACCATATATCAGAATTTAAAATAGTTCTGATACTGGATACAAATTTAATGAAGTTTGATTCAGAAAAAGAATTTGGGGGGGGGGGATACTTGTTTTAAAATATTTTGTAGATTTATGGAACAGGTTGCCAGCTAATATAATGGATGTAGGGCTGCTTAACGTTCTCAGGTGTAAATTGCATAAATATACATGGGTGCGTTTCGATATAAATATGAGCTGCCTCACATAGGTCAATAGGCTTTGTGAAGTTTTAGCTATTCTGATAAGCGGATAAGCACAAAACTGCAATATACAAAAGGGTGAGCAAAATCTATTAAAGTACTTTAAATATTTCAAGTAAATTAAATATTGACATGATAAAGGGTTAAGTAGGTGATAAATAATTAGATAAAGCAAGTTTTGGTGTGGATAGTAGCGATAATTCCCGTTCTCTCATCTCCTCGAAAGGTGGTGGTTGGGTAAAGTTTGCTGCTATACACAAACCTTTTGTTTTATTACCCTTGCATGTGTGTGTATGTTTGTGTATATGTGTGTGTGTGTGTGCAAACAATAATGTTTTTAATACAATAGATGATCTCTGTAGCTTTTCTGGGGTGTTGACAGTACTGACTTGTGGATTATTTTGCCATCCGGAATATTTATCAGGATGGCAACTCTAGTTTGTAACCTATTTAATTACTTAATTATCTAGTAACCTTGTCAAAGATGAAGTCATCTGACTAGAAGACCACAAGGCAATACTGATAACCTACAGCCACACCATAGCTTAGTGGTTCATCACCAACTCGGCTAGGCCCCCAGAACCCTCTCTGGGCCTTACTCTTATGAATGGCAAGCTTTCCCCTTTTCACCTGGCAATCATGTGTCTTACAGTTCACATTTATAGCAGTTGAGTTGTGGCCTAATTAATATTCTTTAGCTAGCAAAATATAGTTAACAAGACTAATGTTTACCCCTACTTTTGTTACTTTATTTATATTGTATATTTGTTTGCCTTTTAGAATGAGTTCTTTAACTATTTTTTTGAGCCATACAGGATCATAATTGTAAGTTTTGTCCCAGACTTTGTACCGTGTTTGTGCCAATTTTGAATTTTGTTTTTCTCATTTATCTGCACCCTGGTGGAATTGTCACACGTATGTATGAGTTTTCTTTGTGTTGAGCACTGTTTGAATCATGAAGTTTGAAATATACTGGCAAATATCACTTGCTTATATCATAGTTTTGTATTACTCAAGACTAAACTACCACATGCATTAATATCTAGGTCTATTGTGTGACACAATGCATGGACTGAAACTATAGCATGAATTTAAAAATTTGGGAAATATATTCAATTTTCCCAACTCATAGTTGATGTGAAACAGTTACATCATTAAATAATTAAACCCACTCAGGCTTCGCAATGGAAAAGACTCCGTTGAAGCTGAAACTGAAGCTAGGCAGTGGAGGCCCTTCTACCCCAGAACAGAAAACGGCTTCATCGGCACACCCGACCATCATATCCAACATGGCTGATGAGGACCAGGGACAGATGGCATCGGATGAGGAATTGGAGGAGGAGGAGTGTATCGAGGATGCTCAGGTGACCAACATTCACTATTTAAGTGTCATATTCACTATTTATACATACATATGTGTCTTTTTCTTGATACACACTGTGCACTTCTAAATTTAACTAGATTTGATTTCAGATGTAAGCTATTTTTGTTAATTTAGTTCATTGTTTCTGGGTTAAATCGGTCAAAGCTGTGTTGAAGGAATGTGAAAAGTACTACTGTATTCTGTCCATTACGTAATATTAATACAGAAAACACAATGTGATGTGATAAGTCTCTTGAACCCTAACAGGCAGCTATAGTTTCTTAAGTACAGTACATTTAAGTACTAATTCTTTAAGCAATTATTCTTCACAATCTGATTCTACTTGGTAAAATAATCCATATTTTTTGTTCCTGGTTGACTGGCAGAATTTGAAACTACTGTATCACACTTTAAACTTTTAGAATACAGTATAGTACAGGGGTACTAATGTTCTATATTGTAAAAAGTTAACAGTGGTGTTGGTGGTATTACTGTTCTTATGGCACTCGCCAAAGAAATAAGTAAAAATCCATTGTTGAAATAATTGTGTTAAAGGAGGCAGGCAACCAAAGTAGCCAATAAGAAAATTGTTGGGTGTAGCCAAGTCAACACAAGGAAGTATTGTGCACGCTTCTGGTCGCATTGATCAGAAACATTGGTCTGGTCGTCCCAGGAAGATGTTTTCAAGGTCTGTGAACTTTCTAAAATACTCATTGCAGAGTTTAGACCTTGAAGTCTTCCTAGGACGACCAGACCGATGCTTCTGTGATGGTGTGTCACCAGTGTTTTCCCCTCAAAAGCAAGAACAATACTTCCTCATGTCGACTTGGCTACACCCAACAATTAACTTGTTTCCTTACTTCGGTGGCCTGCTTCCTTTTAAAGCAATGATCTGACAATGTTTTCATGCTTATTTCTTTGGTGGAGTGCCATAAGAACAATAATACCACCAACACCACTGTTATTTGCAATAAAACATGGCAAGGTGCCAGAGCAAGAGACACAATGCAACCGCTCACTATGAATGCCCGAGGGGGGCAACTTGAGCATAGTTGTGTGGCTCCAGGGAGGTAGTGCACACCGTGAAGTCATGTGCCCCCACATACTTCTGTCTACAATCTTTTGCCCACATGATCATAATTAATTTTTTATGCATAAGTTTGTACCACCTCAAGTAGACCGGCGCATACTTTTGACTAGTATTGTGAAGGTCAGCAGTGATTTACTAATATTATCTGATGATTAACAGGGGGAGGAGGAGCCAGCTGCAGAGGAAGAGGGGCGGTCCCGGTCCCGTCACTCTCACCATGATGAAGGGGCAAGGTAAGTCTGCATAGTTGGAGCTCTGAGGGACCTTGTTCTGTCTGTCTCGATGAAGGGCAAGGCAAGACTAGCTTCCCCTGAACAGGCAGTTGCAATCCCTTCATTCTCTCTGTCAAAGGGGCTAGATAAGACTGCACTTCAAGGTCGGGTTGCTTCCAGTTTTGTCATTCCCCCCCCCCCCCTTCCTTCTCCTTGATGAATGACCTAGGTAAGGCTATGCATATGGCAAAAGGACCATTGCAGTCTTTATTTTATTTAGCAATTAATGATCTCATTCTCTTCTTGTAGTGTCTACATTTGTGTTTACAATCAGCCTAGGATGTGGAATAATTGCACTGATCATGTCATAATTTCCAGCTTTAAGTTAAAGGTTATTATTTAGCATCAAAACAGAATATACAGAGTATACAGGATTATTCACTTATTGCCAGACACTGGTCAAGGGGCCGAGGACAGCTCCCTCAGTTGGTTGTGATCTTACTTGAACTGTCTCCAATTTTCAGAGAGAAGCACAAGAAATCAAAGAAAAAGAAGAAGAAGAAGGAGAGGGAGAAGGACAAAGAAAGGCACAAGCATCGTCATCATCGGGAGAAGACAGAGGTAATTATAAATATATTAAGAATATTTGAAAGCATTTTGTATTTTTGTAGAAGCATCTGGTTTTGAGATGGATCAACTTTTTTTTTTTTTAATATGTAAACTTGTAATAATCAAAATTAGTTTAAGGCTTGGAGCTATTACTTGAATAAGTTCGCTGAAGATTAAGAAATTGAAATAGTACAGTAGTGTGTAGTGAATGATTAAATGATAGGAAACACGAGTGCATAATAACTTCAGGTGGGTGAGTGGAGGCAGATGAACAAATTTCGTTTAGAATAAACTGATGAGGAAGAATATGGGCATGTTGTGCAGTGAGAGCTGCTGCTAAGACTGGAAGAGTTGTGTAGAAAATGATGATATAGAATCTAGAAATGTATTGATATTCTCATTTTCACATTTCTAGACGCTGTACAGTACAGTATGCTCATTGACTTCATGTAGCTTATTTGGGTCTTTTAGCAAGCATAGTGTGTGTGTGTGGATTTAAATCTGTTGATTGGTGTTCAGTGAGTGAAATACACGAGTTTCTTGATTGCAGATACACAGTGTAGTTTAAGTATCTATATTTAGTAAATATCTTCATTATTTGGCAATTTTTTTTTTTTGTGCTACAGATAAGAGAGTTGTTCTGTATACATACCAACTGCAAGAATATTGTTGGTCTTAGGTCATGACTAAAGAGGACTCAATTCTTAATATTGTACATTGTCCTTTGGTTGTACATATCTTTAGGAGCATCTATAGATGATTAGAGAGTGATAATGGGAAGATACTTGTGTACAATATTTGTTTGTAATGAAGGATGTGGTTTGTTGTAATGTCATCAGGTGCAAATAGTCTCAATTTGAGAACCTTCTGAGCACCATGTAGGTTAAACATGGTAGAATCTTGGTTTTGCACCATTTTGTATGTCATTGTTTGCTTCTGGCACTACCAGTGTTCCATTGTTCTCCAAACTTTTTGTCATAAGTGGATTAATTGGGTAAATGCTGAGTTTCATAGGAACATTTACTCCCTAATTGTAGTTATATGATGGTGGTTGTCAGACACCGTATTGTCTGATAATATATGATTGTGATATATGGTGCTAGAAGCTTGAATGTTGAAGTATTAATAGCTAGGAGGCTGGGCAGAGAGAGCGAGATCTGGCTTTCCTGTAATCTGTGACAATTGTGTATCTTATTATAACTGTAGCCAAATGATGGTGATGGCTTAATTTTCCACGTGAGTGACATGACTAGAGTGCTCTCTCTTTTCATACCCTTGTTTCCTTAAGTTGAAAACAAACTTGTGGAAATGAGGCGATCTTCATTATGTTTAATATGTGGAGATGTAATTGTTTTATTACACAAGTCCTGTGTCTAATTGTCAACTTGTATTTTAAGCCTTGGTTCTGGAGGGATTTTGAATAATAATGATTGTGGAAAGAATATGTTTAAGATTGTAGTGGGTCACTTGACAAAATATTTATTATATAGTTTTCACTTAATGATGACTCCACCAGAAGAGCCATTAAGGATAGGTCAAATGAAGCCTTCCCTTTTTTATATATGTTTAATGGGACTATTCCTGATTCTAAAGCTTCGTTGAATGTGTGTCCATGTGGCTTATTTATGCAAGAATTAAGTGTTTTGGAGAGAATTCATCACAATAACATAACTAAAACAAATAACTTGGCCCACTCTTCCTTGTCATTCCTTGATAAGCGTCAAAGACACACCAAAAGTGTTATTTATTAATTATATAACTAACTTTTTTCCATTGTTAGGGTGAGGACACGACGGAAGAGCCTCCCCTAAAGAAGCAGCATCTTGAAGTTGGCCCTCAGTTGGCATCACCATCCAAGGAGTCCACTTCTCCACTCCCCAAGCCCAAGGAATCCTCATCTACACTTGAAGCAAGTGAAATTTCAAGATTTGTATTTTAAAATTATATTACATAGAGGAGAGTGTGGTTGGTCACGCATGTAACATAGTGTTTGCCCCTGAAGAGTATCAGTTTCAAATAAGTGAATTGGTCCATACACCATTTTGTAATCATTGGTTTAGACTATAACCCTTCCTGTCCCTGCCCCCCTTTTCCCCCCAATACAAAAAATTAGGTCACTGTTTCATAAAATCTAGGCAGGATGCAATGGAAAAATTTCCTTTATGTTCAGTGAAGTAGCCCTACCTTACAATGTGGTCTTACTTAACCATATTGTGCTCTGCTTAACCAATAATAACTGTGATACACAGATCATTTCTGTGTCTGTAAATCACACACAGATGTGCTGGTTGACCACTGTTCAGTTGAACAGTTTGACTGTTCAATTGTGTGTCCTACTGAGTTATCCTCTGTCTTCCTGGTGTATTCACCTAGTCCATTAGTTTCTGCCTGGTCTGGGAAGTGAACCCGCACCACAGAATTATGAGTCCTGTGCGCTGTCCACTCGGCTATCAGATCCCCTGAGTATATGCTTATCTTTGTGACAAGAGATCTTGTTTGGCTGGCCATGCCACTACTGATGGTACTGTTGTGGCCTTGTCTCTTCACTCGAGCCAGCTTTGTTGTTTTTCTACCCATTGAGGATTGTTGCTCCTCCTATTCTGTTGTATTTTACTGAAAATCTGCAACATCCTGCCACCCTGGCTTTAAAAATTGCAGGAAATGTATCATCCACATCTTGAACTAGAAGCTTAACATAAGAGAAAACATGTTACAAATTTTTAGCAGAAAGTGTAACTTACAGAGGAAGTTAAATCCGGATGTACCGTGAATGTAGTATGCATTAAATTTATCAATACCCCACCAATAATGTAAGGGATTGCAGCATTATTTCTAGAGTCGTCTCATTGCCAGGCAGCACAAGGGACTTCTCCCTGCAGAGCCGCTTCATGGAGAGACAGTCTTTAGCCTGTGTGCATGTAAATAAGACCTACCACAATCGACTTGAGAATGGTCCAGGACGGACCGAAACGTTGTCGTCCCTTCACCTTCTAGTGTGTGGTCTGGTCAACAAGACCTACCTATTGTACTAGATCATGCTTTTGGTGCATGTTGAGGGTGCATTTGGATTGTTTTAAGTAATTTTCATAGTCTGTAGTTGTACTGTACATGGCCATCTTGGGGAGGAGTCTAGGTCAGGGTATGATGTCTACTTTACCTGGTCATTTCAAATGGTGTCTCGAGAGTCTTTGGTGAGTTCCTTGCCTGTGTTTTGAGGACATACTTGGCCATCTTTGCCACAATGTGATTTGTGATTTGTTGGACAAGGGACCAATATTCTGTCAGATGGATTCAAGGCCATCTTATGCCACTTTTGGACTCTACAGTTTGCACTCTGTATGGCTTAAACTCTCTTCACCAGATTGATTTGTGTGGCCCTCTGCCATCATCTTTGGAGGATCCATGTTCTGATCTTCTGACCAAATCCCTGGCCAGCAGACAACTCTGATGACTTGGGGCCAGATTCACGAAGCAGTTACGCAAGTACTTACGAACGTGTACATCTTTTCTCAGTCTTTGACGGCTTTGGTTACATTTATTAAACAGTTTACAAGCATGAAAACTTCCCAATCAACTGTTGTTATTATTATAAACAGCCTCCTGGTGCTTCGGAACTCATTAGCTGTTTAATAATTGTAAACAAAGCCGCCAAAGATTGAGAAAAGAAGTGCAGGTTCGTAAGTGCTTGCGTAACTTCTTTGTGAATCTTGCCCCAAGTCATCAGAGTTGTCTGCTGGCCAGGGATTTGGTTCTTACAAAGTTTGCTTACCTCAGCTATTTGGTCAACTGGAGGACATCCAGTTAGTGCTTTCTCAGGTTCCAACTTAACTGAGGATGGTCTGGGATACCAGGATGGCCTCCTTTTCTCCCTCGTCGGTCCTGTTGTGACTGCTTTCCGGTCTCTGAATGGTGTAGGGAAGTTCTCGGCTTTACTATGGGATCTCTAGTGCCTTTTGAGCAGCATAAACTTTGTACGTGTGGTGTGCCTACTTGGCTATGTATTGCTAATGGCACTTTACTGCCATTTCCTGTGGTCATACTTTCGTCATTGCCAGAATAGTGAAGAGTTTGAGCTCAATTTCACAAGTGGGTTCTGCATCTTCATTTTTAACTGAAGACTTTTCAGTGTTAAGTTATGTGATCCTCTCCTCCTCCTCCTCCTTTATCACTATTGCTGGTCACAGGTGTGTTGGACCTTGGCTAGGACTTCATTTCCAGTTCACTACATTGGTCAAGGGCAGTGGTCGCCTTGCCTGCAGCAGATGCACATGTTTTCACAGACTGCCTTTTTTGCTTCCATCTGATGTTGACGGATTGTTTGGCGAGACCTCCAGCCTCTGGCTTTGCAAGGCATCCAGTCATCCACAGGTAAACCTGTTTGCCTCAGGATTGGCATGGTAGCTATCTGCTTACTTGCCCGGGCCCAATTTAAAAAAAAAAAAACCCTAAGTGATTTAAAAACTTGTTTTTGGTTTAATATGGGCCAACTTAATTACTTCTAATTAAATTTAAACTTGCATTTTTTATTTATTGATTAAATGTATACAAATTTTAGTTTTTTTTTCAAATCCTGCTAGTTTGCATAGCTTTCAATTAAGGTAGCATTCAATCTGTGGTGCAATTCCCAGATCATGAAACATTTTCAGTGGATACATTTTTCCTGGACTGGGGTCATTGGTCTTGCTTTCACCTCTTTTTCACTAGTCCAGGTGTTGTTCAGTTCAGTGCGTCAGCTGTCTTCACTCTCATGATGTGTGTGGGGAAGTTTGCTGTTTTGGTAGCTTTCGTTTACCAATACAGTATGTCCGTGGCTAATATCTGGACCAAAGATTTCCGGTTGGCCTCTCGTTACATATTGAATGTTGCTTGGCCTTGCCCTACTTGTGTTGTATTTTGGCCTTTGGTATACAGCGGGCATATTTGTGCCTCGGGGCTTCCTCTCTGGCCATTCTTCTGTGGATAAACCCAGTCTTCCTTTTCTGGTTCACTAATCCTTTTACCTTTCAAGAAAAGCCAGCTTCTTCTACCAAGGCTCTATTATGAGTAAGCTCGAGGAACTACTGAGGGATCCATCCTAGATATCGAGTATTCTCCCCATCCCTGCTCTGTGAAGTTAGAGGGTTAGGTACAGGCATTTCCAGAATAAAGTGGCAGGCAAGCTGCGACCCTGAGTGACCTGAGTTGCAATCTGCTGGCTGCTGGGCACATCACAGTTAGGGTATTTGCCCTGCAGCAACGATCGGTTGCCTTGTTTACCATGATGTGCCTAATTTCTTTAAAGTGGTCACTTTTTGTTGTTGTACCTATGCTTTGTGGTGGAATTTTCATTGCTTATGATTTATTGATCAATTTCTGATAAAGCTCCTCTCACCTTGTAGAATGAGTAAGATTTTGTTCCTGGGGCCAGATTCACGAAGCAGTTACGCAAGAACTTACGAACGTGTACATCTTTCCTCAATCTTTGACGGCATTGGTTACATTTATTAAACAGTTTACAAGCATGAAAACTTCCCAATCAACTGTTATTATTATTATTATAAACAGCCTCCTGGTGCTTCAGAACTCATTAACTGTTTAATAATTGTAAACAAAGCCGCCAAAGATTGAGGAAAGATGTACAGGTTCGTAAGTACTTGCGTAACTGCTCTGTGAATCTGGCCTCTGGTTTCTGATAGAATAGGATTAGTCTTGGAGGCCTGGTGCAACTAGCTTACACTTGGCAATACTAAAGCTAAGCTTGGGGGGGCTAATGAGGGCCCCCATAAATGGATATTGCATTAAATTTAACTTTATTTATGATGATTTTTACATCTTGGGCTAGTTCAGAAAATGTGTGCCAGATATTTGAAGTTAGGCTTTGTGGTACACCAATATAGAACCTTCTGTATCCCCAGGCACTCTGATGTGTTAGTCCCTGTGTGTTTTTGGCTCCATCTGTCCTCTCTGCTGCTTTTATCCTTTAAAGTGTTGATCTTCCACTATGTTTACATTAACAGTGGGTATTTTCCCATTGGTGCTCTTACTTCTCGTGTTTCTTTTTCCTCTACTCTTTCATCTGCATCCTCTCTGTCATATGACTTTTTCTGCTTGCCCTCTTATAAATTCAATGTCTTGTTTTGTGTGTTCATATTAGTTTTATTATGATACATTAAAATGTTCAATCGTGCACTTTGCTTTGCCTTAGTTCTGTTTTAAGCTCTTTTGCAGATGTCTTTCGCTACATTAGTTAATTTTCTTGTTTCCACTTATGAGATCTATTCATGGCCTTATCAGCAAAATTAACTAATTTGAATGACCTTTATGGAGAAAGGATGTTTCATATTTTAGAAAAAGTTTGTTGTACTGTATAGAGTTCTTAACATGTTTGGTTAGGGATGCATTGTTGTACTCGCCTAGATATGCTTGCGGTAGTTGAGCTCTGGCTCTTTGGTCCCGCCTCTCAAATAACACTTTACTGCCATTTGCCTGTTGTGCTATTACACATTGAAGGAGTTTGCTAAAGAACTGTAATCATGTATTTTTTTTCTGTGGTCTTAGGAAGAATCGAGTCATGTTTATAAAAGTTGTAACCAATGGCAACAACTTCTGGAACACCTGCTGATAATCCTGGAGAAGAAGGACCCTCAACAGTTCTTTGCTTGGCCTGTCACCGATGCCATTGCTCCGGGTTACTCCTCCATCATCTCCCAACCCATGGACTTCTCTACCATCAAGTTGAAAATTCAGGAAAATGCCTACTCAAATCTAAAGGAGTTTCAGGTATGCAAGTTTTAAACCTTTTTTTCATGCCATTTTAATGAGAAGTGATAATCTGTGGTACAAGACACTAACTTCTAATCACCACTTCAACATTTAAGTCTTCCATGTCTATATTTAGCATTTGCCCATCCACCATTCTTTCCCGTTTTATGAATAATTGTGCGTGCGGCTACGAGTGTGTGTTTGTCACAATGATTAGGGTGTCTTGAAATATTGAAGTACTGTACAGTATTTGCATCGTGGAAAATGTTTTGTTTAATTGCTGTAAATTAGTATTTAAGAAAGACAAGGGTGTAGCAACAATCTTTGGTGTGTGAGACAATAGCAACAATAGTGTAGTATTTTTAGAATTGTAATTCTAATTTAATTATCATTTCTTTATGTAGTCAGATTTTGAGCTTATGTGTAACAACTGTATGACCTACAATCAACAAGACACAATTTATTACAAGGCGGCTAAAAAGTTGCTGCACCTTGGACAAAAATGCATGATTCCAGAGAAGATACTGGCCCTGAGGCGTGAGTTGCCTTCAATGACTACCCTCTCCAAGGAACAGGTAATGTTCAAGCCTTAAATTACAGAATTTGTTATTTATTGAACTAGACAATATGCGTCAACAGTGATTTTGTTTAAATTGGGTAATATTGCTAACATTATGCAGAAAACCACAAAATGTTGGACTTTACATGAGAATTTGTCCAGCTACAAGTCTTTCAAATGACTTGCTGGAAAGTGCTAAAATAGTGTTTCTTTTTCCTTTTGGTTCTTTCTGTATATTGATTGTTACTGAACACAAGAAATTTATGCCTGAGAAAAACTAGCAGTATTTGGAAAAGTAAATAGATTGAATATCATATTTTTGTTGTAATATTTTAAATGGTAGCAAATGTTGGAGTGAATATTTTGAGAATGTTGAACCTGGAGAAATCGTGATATAATAACTTCCTTCCACTTATTAGGAATATGTTTTGTATGTAATTGATTGTTTGGGTTCCTACAGCTTGGTTTTGATGTCATCCCTCCGATGTCTTCTGGTGGAGAGATCGACGACACATTAGATACAGAACCTATGGAGTCTATGGATGAAGATACTGACAGTAAGGAGCCGCACAGGTGAGATACTTGTTAAGTGTTGCTCAGGGTTCAAGAGTTGGAAAAGTTTTGTATTGTAATAGTTTAATTACTTTGTTTTTGAATAATAGGATGAGACAATAATCGTACACTTTTGTTTTATTTCAAGCAAATTTGAGGCAGTGCAAGATGATATGACCTCTGAAGAGATCCTGGAACAAGTTCAAAATTCTGCTAGTGAAGCTGCAGAAAAACTAACACTAAAGAAACCAGCTAGTACAGTAAGTTCCATTATATTGCATATCAGTACAGTGAAGTCCAATGCATGAATAAATACATGATGTATATTTTCCGTTAAAAAGAAAAAATGAAATTATCATAAACGATCGAGCCTGTGCTGGCACAATTAAAGCGTTAACTATGCTGTATTTTTGTCTCCAGCTTGGGTTCTTACGTCAGCGAGGAGATGGCACCACCTCCCTCAGTTTCTTGACTGGGTGTGAGGGTAATGATCCCAACCTGAAAGAAAAACCTGTTAGCCTAGGGCTGCTCACAGGAAAGCTCACCCAAGGCTCTGCCATGCTCCATAACTTCAGAGATGATAAGCGAAGCATGGCTAAACCAAGTATGTATTTTGCACACCCAAAAATATATGTGACTGTTTCTTAGCATGGGGATGCATGTGCTTGTAAGATTAATGCATGCAAACTTATCTTCTCTCTTGGATAAGTTTGTGTTTGATGCATTTCCAAGCATGGAGAGTGAATAATACAGGATGTCTCGGAATTAGCTATCTAGCTCTATGAAATTGAACAAATTAAACAAAAAAAAATCATGTTTATTGATGTTTATCATGTTTAGTTTGTGTTATACATGTAAAAATATAAGCTATTTAAATTGTCAATCAACACAATTGTCATATCTGTTCCGATAAAAAGCCATCTGAATCTCGATAGGCACTCTCTCCAAAAGTTACCGTGTGGCTTAGAATGACTAAATCCAAAATGTATGGCCCATTCTTCTTTCATGAAGCATCTGTACAGCCAACATCTTTCTTAATGTGCTTCAGGAGTTACTTAAACTGCAGCTTCTTTGTTACAAATGGATTATATGTTGCAAGTTATCAATAAAAATTTGACTTATAATGTATCCTGTGTCAACACGTGCATCTTGCAAGTATTAATAATGAAGTACATGGGTACATTACCAATTCCCACATAGATGCAGCAATGTAACCATGAAGAACACTTCTATATGATATTACCAGCCATTTCCATATTTTGCAGAGCAAAAAAAACATAATGTGCATGGCTATCTGAATTGACCAGGTAACGTTTTTCCAGATGATCCTAAAGGTGACCACATTTTTCATGTTTTTTTAATGTCTGTGTTGAGTAAGCCACCCAAAAGTGGGCATGAATAGCCCATAAGTGGTGGCCCTTTTGAGCCATTTCCAGTATCAATAGATGATACTGAGATCTGTGGAGGTGCGACTGCACCCTGCGTGACGGGAGATGTCTCCCGTGTGTCTGTGTTGTATTAGTTTTGTTGGTGCATATATGGATGTACTGGACCAACCTTTAGGATAATTTTAGGCCACTATACCTTTAGGTATAGTGGCCTAAAATTATCACAAAGTACAACAAATATTTAGAACTATTGGGGCTAAGACTATGATGAACTTTATTTAATAGTAAAGTCACAGGCCTGAATCTCTGTAATTACCTAAGTGTAGTTATAGGATGAGAGCTATGCTTGTGGTGTCCCATCTTCCCTGTTCTGTCATACAACGCTTTGAAAATAGGGACAGTTTTAGCCTCTACTACCTTCTCACTTGACTTATTCCAACCAGCTACCATTTGGTTTGGAAAAAAAAAATCTAATTTTTGGGGCACATTTTGGTCCCTTAATTGAATCTGTGACCTCTTGTTCTTGAGGTTGCTGGTGTCAGGAATTCCTCTTTTGTCAATTAGGTCGATTCCCATTATTATACAAATACAATACAATACAATATACAAATATTTTTTCAGGTAAAGTACATACATACAAGGTGAGATACAAAAAGTTGATGGATTTATGATAGAGCTAGTACATACAATGCCTAAAGCCACTATTACGCAAAGCGTTTTGGGCAGTATTATTTTGTAAGTGGTGATCATATCACCTCTTTTTCTATCTTCTGGCTTTGGCATATTTAATACCTCTAGAATCTCTTCATAAAACTTGTTTTTCATTTCTGTAAACCATTTTGTAGCATGCCTTTGCAACTTATCCAGTTTATTGACACGCTTCTTGAGATATGGTCGCCATACAGTTGGCATATTCCAATTTTGGTCTTGCAAAAGTTACGAACAGTTTCTTCAATATTTCATCATCCATGTAATTAAAAGTGATTCTGAAGCTGGAAAGTGCAGCACATGCTTCTCGCACATTGTTCTTTGTGTACCTCTGGTGACAGTTTACTGTCCAGAACCACCACTAGAACTCGAACCATTCTTTGTTAATTTTTTTCTCTCCACATACATTTATAGAGAGTGTGGTCTATTTTTTCCTATTCCACATCCCATAACATGGTATTTATTCACATGTTAACACTCACATGTTACTGTAATATAGTAGTTTTGATTGTATGGAAAAGCTGGTTAGTGTGAAGAATATTGTGCCTTTTTTTAGTTTTTCCCAGCAATGCTCTTATCTTTTTGTCCCTAAGCAGGTACCTCCTTCACATAGCAATATGTGATGCAGGCAAATAATGATGATTATGATGATAAAGCATTAGAGAAATTATTTTATGCTATTCCCATTGATTTAGTTTCTAACTTTTTTTCACAGTTAAACCACTGTACTATGGCTCTTACTCATCATTCTGTCCCTCGTACGACTCGACGTTTGCTAACCTGACCAAGGAAGAAAGTGAGATGGTGTATGCTACTTATGGCAATGAAACGGCTGTCCAATATGCTAAAAGGTAAGTGGTGTTCTATGGAAAAGTTATGATTCATTGAATGATTTGTTTATTATGTGGCATAAAAATGTGCTGGCCTCATTGCTCATCACTGTGGCAGCCCCACCCCTCATCACTGTGGCAGCCCCACCCCTCATCACTGTGGCAGCCCCACCCCTCATCACTGTGGCAGCCCCACCCCTCATCACTGTGGCAGCCCCACCCCTCATCACTGTGGCAGCCCCACCCCTCATCACTGTGGCAGCCCCACCCCTCATCACTGTGGCAGCCCCACCCCTCATCACTGTGGCAGCCCCACCCCTCATCACTGTGGCAGCCCCACCCCTCATCACTGTGGCAGCCCCACCCCTCATCACTGTGGCAGCCCCACCCCTCATCACTGTGGCAGCCCCACCCCTCATCACTGTGGCAGCCCCACCCCTCATCACTGTGGCAGCCCCACCCCTCATCACTGTGGCAGCCCCACCCCTCATCACTGTGGCAGCCCCACCCCTCATCACTGTGGCAGCCCCACCCCTCATCACTGTGGCAGCCCCACCCCTCATCACTGTGGCAGCCCCACCTCTCATCACTGTGGCAGCCCCACCCCTCATCACTGTGGCAGCCCCACCTCTCATCACTGTGGCAGCCCCACCCCTCATCACTGTGGCAGCCCCACCCCTCATCACTGTGGCAGCCCCACCCCTCATCACTGTGGCAGCCCCACCCCTCATCACTGTGGCAGCCCCACCCCTCATCACTGTGGCAGCCCCACTCCTCATTGCTATATGGTGGCCCCCATTCCCCACTGCTGTGGGGAATGGGGGGCCCATCTCCCTTTACTATGTTGACTTCCCCTCCCACCTCCACCACTATGTGGCAGCCCCGTTCCCCACCGCTATGTTGTAAATTCTGCTCCAAATTCTCTGTGATATAGGGAACGAAGATTTTTTTAGCTTTGAAGTCATTTTTGCAAAATTATTTCTACTAAAGGCAAAAAAATTTAGCCTTGGATATGGATCTTGCTGGAAAACAAAAGGCAGATTCTTGTATTGTGTAAAATGTTAGAGAAACCAATGATGAGCCAAAGATGTTGGAAGTAGATGTGTATTCATTAGCAGTATGCTTCAGATTTTGACCTTTCCTATTTTATTTAGTGTGACAACTCATTTTCAATGCTTGTTGTGATTGCTTTGCATATTTAAAAAAAAAACATTCAGCTTTATAAAGCTTAAACAACAACGTTGCTTCCGGGTAATAAAGATGTGTAAATTATATTTTGAAGGGCCCACTGTACATAATTTATTTCGTGTAACTGCCTGATTTGAACCGATACAATTGTATTATTGAAATATTTCCTGTATTAACATTTTTCGTATAAATGTGATTTGGAAATTGAAATATAATTTAACCATCTCGATATATTACGTTTTACAGCATATGTGACTTTTCTCAAGACTGTGATATGGCCATGCACCTAGTGGATCAGCTGTTAAACTTGCTGACACATCAGCAACACTCACGAACAAAGAGTATTATTGAGGAACGCCGAAGAATGCAAGAGGAAGAGGAACGCATCAACTCTATTCTCTGTCCTGGGTTAGTTAAGTAATTATCTCATGGTAGTATAGAATAATAAGAACCATTTTTATGTGTGTGTGTATGTAAATCATGAAAATAATACTTGATGAATAATGTGAAAATATTTAACCATGGAGGAAAATGGAAGCAGAATATATTAGTTATTAGGGATCTTCGTAAGATTATTAATATACAGATATCCCATTAGGGCTTCTAGGAACGCATATGGATTTGTCATTAGGGATGGTGCTTCCAAGACCTGCAGTTTCATCTTGTTCATATGTATTGGCCAATAGGCCTTCTACAGTTTCCTCTTGTTCTTATGTTACAAAAGACATTTATTTAATTTATAGTACATAGATTTCAAGTAATGTGTATTTGTTTCAGTGACTCTGGAATGTATCCTGCATCTACAGATCAGAAAGGTCATACAACGATAGATTTTAGTTCACTTCGCTCTCTAACTGAACTTGGTATCGACACTAATTTCATAAATCACTTTGGTAAGTCTCCTTTTGTTTACTTTGTGTATTTGCAGGTAGTAAACTCTAGCTCCTGGGATCCACCTCTTAGCCATAAATAATCTGATAAGGTGATTCCTTGCATAGGTTATATTATATTGGCATTTTCATTTGTGTATGGAGCTTGCCTCCTCCGTTTTCTCTTTTAGTACACTTCAATCTACTCTCACGTTGAAGAAGCTTGTTTTTATATATCGAGGTCATTTGAGTGTTGTGTGCCATCATCCTTAGTATCTACCATCCTTGAAACAGCTTGCCTGTGTCCACCTCATGGAGGCCTCCGAGAGTTCTGTTTGTCTATCCTTCTCCCATGACTTCTTTAGTGACATGAGGCTCAACTCTCTTAGCATATCCTCATAGTTATCTTCAGCTTCATGACACTGTACAGTCCATGTTCCTCTGGACCATACTTCTATCTTCTAGTTTTGGCATATTTAATGCCTCTAACCTCGCCTCGTAGCTCTTGTCCTTCAGTTCTAGGAGCCATTTAGTTGCATGTCTTGCACCTTTTCTAGTTTGTCATTGTGCTTCTTAAGATATGGGCACCATGCAACCGCTGTATATTCGAGCTTTGGTCTAACTAAAGTCGTGAACAATTTCTTTAGTATTTCACCATTCATGTATTTAAAAGCAATTCTGAAATTAGAAAGTGTAGCATAGGCTCCTCGTATGATATTCCTTATGTGATCCTCTGGTGATAGATTTTTATCTAGAACCACCCCTAGATCTCTTTCTATCCAAATTCTTTAAAGATTTCTCGCATAATTTATAGGTTGTGTGGGAGTCTATGTTCTCCTATTCCACATTCCATAACATGGCATTTATTCACATTAAATTCCATTTGCCAAGTGGTGTTCCATATACTGTACTTATTTTATCCAGGTCATCTTAAAGGGCATGATAATCATCTAAGGTTTCTTATCTTCCCTATTATCTTAGCATCATCGGCAAACATGTTCATATAATTCTGTATTCCATCTGGTAGATTGTTGAGATAATGTTCATTATCTACATAATGTTGAAATCAGTGGTTGAATGTTTCTATTACACTTTGGGTTCTGTTTGTTAGGAAGTTGGAAAATGATGTGTACACTCCTCTCACCATGTTGTGTGTGTTCCTCTGACGACAGTTTACTATCCAAAACCACGCCTCGGTCTCGTTCTTTATTAGAGTTCTGTAATTCCTTTCCACATAATTTGTAAGTTGTGTGTGGTCTATTTTCTCTAATTCCACATTCCATAACATGGCATATATTCACAATGAATTCCAGTTGCCACTTGATGCTCCAAGCACTTAACTTTATTTAGACCAATTTGAAGGTCATGACAATTGTCTGCCTCGCCTATCTTCCCCAGTATCTTGGCATCATCTGCAAACATGTTCATATAATTCTGTATTCCTTCTGGTAGATCGTATGTGTAAATGATGAACATTACTGGTGCAAGAACTGAACCCTGTGGTACTCCGCTAGTAACTCTCCACCAGTCAACCAAATATGGTGCCAACCTATACTTGGTCTTTGCTGATCTAAGACTTATTTATCAACTTTATGTACTTTACTGTCCTAGATTGGGTGTTTAGATTTTACTGGCAATTATTTGTAGTATGTGAATGAATCTTTACATAGGTATGATTCAATTAGAGGACATAAGCGAAGCTCTTGGGGAAAAGTTTGAATTTCATCAATCATGAGTCAAGTGTAAAGCGTTTTTCATTCATAAAGCTGGTTTGGCGGCAGGATTAACAAGGATTTAACTGTTGCTTTTGAGGATAAGCTGCTGGTGGTAATATTGTGGTTCATGAGTTGGTGAGGCTAGGCTGCTTTTCCAGTCTCATTATCAGTCCCTTTCATGAAGTGTTTCATTTTCAGATTTGTTAAACTATAATTCATATACTCTTTCAGAGGACTTGGATAGGCGTGAGAATCAGATCAACACGCAGCTGGAAGAAAATGCAGTTCTTCTGGAAAATTTGGCAAAGGAACAGAAAGATCGTTTGTCTCGGCAACGACCTACCAACCTCAACAATTTACCTCACCCATCACCGCAAGAGCTGAAATTGGGTATGGAAATGGATTAACAGTTTTATTTAGCTTTTAATTTTTTCTTAAGGTCTTTCTTTCTTGATTTCCTTTTCCTAGTCATTTCTGGCCCGTAATCCATTATCACGTGGGAAGGCAGTAATCGGGTAAAGAAAAATACATTAGGCTTACAAGAAAATGTAGTTTTGAATATATACAGTACAGTATATGAATCATTGCATATCCCGAATATTCTGGACATCTCTGTTGAATTTGTGGCTGGAAAATATAAAATAGGTGTCTTGTTGAATAAGGGAACTATCAAGAGAAAGTGCCACGCCATAATGACTATATAGCACTTGGAAGAAAGGGAACGTTTGGAGGTGTCTAGAACTCGTAAAAATAGTCATACATAAATTAAGATTGATGAACAATATAAGCAAATATTTGTTTGGTGATAAAAAGATTTTAAGAGTCAATATCCATGTGGCCCAGTTACCATAATTAAAGCTAGCAAATTAGTAAGTTTTAAAAATGAGAAAAATAGATCTTGAGCCCATCTTGAGATGATTTCGTGGCTTTTAGTGTCCCCGTGGCCCGGTCCTCGACCAGGCCTCCACCCCCAGGAAGCAGCCTGTGACCGCTGACTAACACCCAGGTACCTATTTTACTGCTAGGTAACGGGCATAGGGTGAAAGAAACTCTGCCCATTGTTTCTCACCGGCGCCCGGGATCGAACCCGGGACCACAGGATCACAAGTCCAGTGTGCTGTCTGCTCGGCCAAAAATGATAATAGACTCGAATAAGAACCTGCCAAATATGGGCCAGTTTCTCCATTTTCTGACGTGTGGTTTGGTCATCATACCTTCAGCCAAATTATTGAGACTCGTCAGCACATCGGCCTGTAGGTCTGTTGTAGTATTCTTTGCTTGTGTTTATATATTATTAAAATAAACCATTTGGTATCCCTTCTGAACGATAATTGGGATCATCAGGATGGTCAGTTATTGGTTTGCAAAATCGCACTACCAAGTTACTCATCACTGACCACCACCAGGTGGAAGCACAAGCTGCTCAACATTATCAGGTTCTGGTAACTTGACTTAAAGGCCAAGCCTCCCAACAGGCCCTTTTTGTAATGACTTCAAGGGCAGGGACTGATGCAACTTAATGGCTTCTTGTAAAGTATACTTCCATATCACAGGTTGCCCTATTTTTTGGAACTACTGTAGATCCCTTGGTTGTTCTCCTGGCTAACTCCCCATATAGCAAACCTGGTAGAGAGCCTGAAAATGCTAAAAGCCATATCTAGAAACTGTGACAAGAATGATGATAATAGACTGCATTGGGGAAGCCAAAACCCGTACATAAAAGGTTATGTTATGACAGAAGTGATGACAAAACATCGTCGCTTCCATTTATTTCATACTGTGTAAGTGTGGGTTTCATAATTTATTTGTTACATTATTATGATGTATTTGCTGCATGTTATTCTTGCCATAATTGTACAGTACTATTTATATATTTTCAATTGTTTGTGCATTTAGTTATTTCTCATTCTTGTCACATTGTCCTGAGGTAAAACTAAACTGGCATGAGGAATGCTTTAAAATGAACTGCATTGCCAGGTGGTCAATATGTTGGAAAGATTCTACTACAGGCACCTGGTCTCTGTAAGCGTTCTCTCTCAAACGATGGTTAATATTTGTTGACTTAGGAAAATTGCTCTACTTAGTAGATATGCTTATTTATACATATGGTTTTGCCTTTCCAAGAGTAGTAGTAGTTTCCTACATTGTTTACAGTATTTTGCACTTGTTACCTTATTATATTTACTGCATGTATCTTTACTCTGAACTTGTTTACTTCATCAAAAAGTTATTGTGCAATTGAAAACAAATTAATTATATTATTTGATGATAATTTGTATTCGTTTTGCAGTGGAGAAAGTAACGGATGGCTTGGCTATGGTAGCTAAGCAAGCAACCCCTGGGGCCCTAGCTCCAGTGCCCATTGTGCGCAGGGCCATGGGCATCACCATGCACCCGGTCGCTTCCGAACCCAGTGAGCAGATTGAGGTATGATAGATTCCACATACAAATATTTCATTGAAAGACATTCATCATGAAACTATAAATAACGGTTATGATCACGTTAAGCTGCTGCCATATGGAGTGGTGAATGCACAAGAACACGGTACATGTTGGCAAGAGGAAGAGTGCTACCGACTAGTCTGTCCAGTCTCGTAAATCACGTGTGGACCAGAAGGAAGGAGATGTTTCTTGTTTCATGTTTTTGTGTCTTTTGTTATTTTTACAAAAGCTGCATTTCATTTTGAATTATAGTTTTGGCCATAGAAGTTTGATGGTGTGAAACTAAGAGTGAGCTTGAACTTTAATACCTCAGGTGGATATAGAGGGAACCTCGTCCCAGGAGGAGGCCACTCCTCCTCCTCCGCCTGGTAGCGGTGGCACGGAGGTGGGCACTAAGGGCAACAACACTGATCTCGAGTCACAACTGCGGCACATTCTTAACCAGGCTGATGCCGCCTCTCCTCCGCCCGTCATCCACACCCCTTCTGATATGACTGATAAAAAGCTAAAGGAGATCCTTGGAAACTGATGATAGAAATGCTTGTAGATTTTTGATATTACATATCAGTGTATAGAATATTGTGTGTATGAATATTGTGTGTTGTACTAGGTTACTTGTAATGCATTTCATGGTGTAAGTGCTTTTTATCTAGATGCATACGTCATGTATTGTTTCTTTCAACAATAGTGTTTATTGAAATTTTATAAACTTTTATATAAATATGCCATTTGTGCTTTTTATCCCATTTTGTATTATGAAAAACAAAACTTATTATTTATTAACCAAAAATCCTTGCTTGGATAAGGCTTACCAACTTCTGTAGGTATTAACATTGTATTGCACATGAAAATGTTCAAGGTTGAGATCTGAGATGGTTGAGTGACACTTAAGCTTTTATGAAGGTCTTGAAAGATCATATTACACAAGCACTTGGCTTATGTACACACGTTGATGACTCCTGCTTAAATAATAACAAAAATATTAACCTTGTTTATAAGCATTTTCAAAATTGTATAGAAGAGTTCAGATTGTTATGGTTTTGAAATTTAAAATAGCCAAAATGTGAATTAATATGCCAAAGTGCTCCTTGTTTAGGTAAATACCATTTTTGAATAATTAGAATTCCCTTCTAAAAAATAAACTGCAAGGTATGTTTTGGACATACTTCATGCATAAAAGCTTGGACATCAATTCTAAGCTGCATCTTGTAGTCGAGACCTCTTTAAATCATATCAAAATTATATTCACATTCAAAGGGGCTCTTAAAATCTTGTATGGTCTTATATGTGATGCATAGTATTGTATTTTCCAGGAGTGTGTACACTGTCTCTCCTAAACTTGAACTGTCATGTGGAGCCTCCTGACTTGGGAACATGCTTTCTATGGTTGCCTAGTAATAGAGTTGACATTTATGATATGTCATTATGAGCCAAAAAAAAAGTACGCTATACATATATTGTCAAAACTTCAGAAACTTTCATAGTGACATGTTAGTGTATTACTTAAAAGTTGGTGACGAATTATCAAGCTTTCTATGTCTCCTTATTGCAATTACATGTAATTATAATAATAATACAGTAGTGTATAATAAGTGCATATAACTTTTTGCTTCATTGACCTTGATACCAATAATGCATCTTATTATAGTGTTTGTCAAATACCCTCTAAAATCTACCATATGAATAAAACTGTGTGTGTAAAACAAAAGGTACAGTAATAATAAACATTTCTGGTAAAGTTCATACCAATAAATTACCTTATGTTTTATTAAATACCAATAAGGGTTTCAGGCACCAGCAAAAGCAACACTTTGTCATCAGTAGCAGCCGATGTAACCTTGAACGTCAACACCCACTAACCCATAGGTAGGTTTGTAGAGTTATGATGATCTTTGTGGTGGTGGGAAAACCAACATAAAGAACTTTCATGTGGCCGAGGAGTTCCGAGATGTGGGTTCGATTCTGTTGTATGGACTTGATATTGATTAAACTACTATTGTAATGTGAAATGTAAAATATGATTAATATATGTATACTGTATGGGTTTGTGAGCCTTTTGTGAGACCTTATATAGACAAGGGTAGAATATAGAATAGCCTAAGCTACTCTATCCTTTTGAGATGCATTTCATTTTCTCAATAAACTTACTTGAACGGTTCATCCTCAACCTTTCCAGGTTGAACTAGTTCATACGTTGCCCCTCCTTCCAGGTGATCACTTCGTCCCAGGACTGTTTTGTGCTGAAGGCTGATCTTGATCAGCCTTGAGATCATTTGGATGATCTCCCTAAACGAGTTCAGGAATTGGTTAGGCATTGTCATGGGGCTCCAGACCTAGTACTGTCTAAGCTCGCTTATCCGGACTATATGGGAAAGGCCCCCAACCAAAAAAGCAGAATTCCTACCAGGAAAGAAAAAAAATTAACGTACAGGGTATCTGCATTTTTCTTTTACCTCGACTAACAATTTGCATTTCTCCACACACAAGTCAGTTATTTTTTTCTACAAGGTGATAGGGGTAGGTAAACCAGTGAAATAGTGCAAAAAGGCAAACCAACATAATCACTAGAGAAAGTGGTAGTGAAGAACAAGGGGAGAAGGAACATGTTCCAGAAAATTTTTACCAACATAGATGGAGTGAGATAAAATACTGTATACTCAAGTTAGTGGCTCTCGTCGAGGGCCACTAACACACTCGGTGGCACACACAAATCACAATAGCGTAATATATCAAATGAACAAATCCACAAGGGCCATGATGAGGGTTTGAACTTAGTCCAGGATGATCCCAGATGCGCCTTAGTCGATTGCGCCACGACATGGAAAAGATTTGTTACTGCCCTCACACGGATCCTGTAGTCTCTCTGAGACAAACTGGGGTTTTACACAATTCCCCCATGCACCCAGGCTCTGTCAACAAGCTGTTCTAATTGCTCCCGGTTGCAATTCTTTTCCATGTCGTAGCGCAATCGACTAAGGCGCGTCTGGGATCATCCTGGACATAAATTTGAACCTTCATCACGGACCTTGTGGATTTGCTCACACTCGGTGACTTCGACAAGGACAGGAATCTGGCTGCTTGTTAAAGGTCCTTCCTTCACCATTTGCCCTAATGATTATTTCAAGTGGATTTTAAAGTTCAGCAAGTTTTTAAATTTACGTTTTCGGTGGGTAGGCGGTTCCATGGGTTTATAACCCAGTGGGTGAAAAACCATCTTTTATTTTCAGTCCTACAATGTGGCTTGTTGAGCTTGAAACTGTTACTCCTTGTTTGAATCAACATCCTCCAAATCGTAGAGCATTATAAAAGTTTCAATGAGATCCACCGCCATGTCTGGTTTGTAGTGTTGTTAGCCCTGTGGCCCTCAACCGTTCCTGGTATGAGAGTTGACTTTGTTCTGGAATTATTTTTGTTGTTCAGTGTTGCACCTTTCCTAAAGTAGCTATGGCTTTTTGAAGATAAGGTCTCCAGGTTTGGATACAAAAATCCAAGATGCTTATCAATCCTGAGGTCGAGTAATTATACAAAAAAAAAAAAAAGGCATCCTGGAAGATTTAGCTGCTTCTGTGTTGCAGGATATTCAATAGATGGTAAATATAATTAAGGACGCCAATACAAGCAACACATTGGAAATAAGATTTACGATCATCCTAAAAGTAAGACATTTTACAAGGTAGTGCATGACTAATGGGTAAAGTGTTTAATTTACAATTTTCTATGCAGAGAGTAAGTCAAATAAAATCTTATTACCACCGTGAAAAGCCCCGTACCACAGGGTATAAAGTCCCTAGCACCACTGCTTTTGTTCATTCTCATATCAGATACAAAAGTACAAGTCACAATTTCGTGTCATCCTTTGCAGATACAAAAATCAGCATAAAGTTACTTCTGTAGAAGACGCTTAATAACTGCAAGCCGATATCAATAATCTTAGATTGGGCAACGGAAAACGTGTTTAAAATTGATAAATTACAGGTACTTTGGTATGGTATACATAAACGAAACACAGGGTACAAGATAACCAAACCTACTTATAAAGGGAAAACTTAACTCCCAGATACCCACGATCGTCGTCGCCCCTTAATCAACACAACTACTCCCAGATATTTTGTCTGACGAACTGACATTTAGTAAACATAACCGAGCTAATACAGCGTCAGCCAGAAAAATGATAGGATGAATTATGAGAACCTTCAAATTCAGTGGTTCCACCACGATGCTAATGCAGTTATTAAGATCACCTTTGTTGTCCCGCCTTGTGTACTGCTCGGTACTCGCCTTCCCTGTCAGTGCAGGAAAGATGTCTGAAATACGAGGGAATACAGAATATATATACAGCACGCACACGATAAAGCACCTATATTATTGGGACCGTCTCAAACCTCAAAATGTAGTCTGGAAAGGAGACTAGAAGTGCATCAAATAATGTACACACAGGAAGGCCAAATTTGCACAGTAAAATAACATACTGGAGCGTACAATATGAAAGGAAATGCAGAAAGAACCAGTGAGGAGTAAAGGTGCCATAGGCACAATCAGAGCACTATGAACATCAGTGATCCACGGATATTCAATGCCCTCCCAACATGCATAACCAATTTTGTCGGAATAAATATGGACAAAGAAACAATTAAGTTCTTACAATAGCCTGTTTGACCAAGTTCTCAAGTCAAGCCTGGCCCCGGACGGCAGCCCGTCCTCCAAAGACCCAAAAACCCATTCCATGCACCCGCCAAATCCTGTTTATGAATGAAAAACGGTTTACACACTCAACCCGTCCTCGACTCAAGTCCATTACATCCAGCGGTCGACCTCAGACATTCATAAATTTTTACATGCTATTCATTCAAAATGGGAATTTTCTCAAATAAATTAATATTATATTATTATGCATATATAGGCATAGGTTAGGTTAGGTATTTAGGCTCCGTTGGTGATTGTTTGCATTTGTAGTACGTGGGTGAAGCATTTACAGCGTTGTGGTTCGAACAAAATTCGTCAGTGAAGCACTTGTTCCGGAAGTGTTCGAACGAAATCAGTTTAGTCTCGTTGCGAAATCAGTTGCGAGTCTATACAAATAATCGCCAACGGAACCTAAACAGTGCTCAAGTATGCACAATATGCTAATATATAATAATATATTACTTTATATTTGAGCTCTTCCATCAGTCTAGCCGCCACCAACTAACTGTAACGACCGGACAGCCGTCACACACTGACACCCCCCCCCCTCCACACCCCTTTATATAATTATGACCAGTACAGCAAAACTTAAATATTTACACGGGAAATATTACCCTTATATGTAATACAACTGAAATATTAGGTTGTAGCGAGTAATATTACTAGTGTGGCCATGTAGTGATCTGCCATTCATAAGTTAGTTACTTTAATTTTCTTCCGATATCCATTCATACAAATTATGAACAGTACACACACAGATCATACTAACGTGATGCATCAAATGATCAAATCCACAAGGGCCGTGACGAGGATTCGAACCTGCGTCTGGGAGCATCCCAGTCGACTGTCGTAGCTCAGTCGACTGTAGCTTAATCGACTGTCGTAGCTCAGTCGATTAAGGCAGTGTCTGGGATGCTCCCAGACGCAGGTTCGAATCCTCGTCACGGCCCTTGTGGATTTGTTCATATGAACAGTAGTTAAAGAGATGAATTTAGTGTACTATATTTTCCTGCTGGTTGTCACCAATATTTAGCATAAAAGGTATATTTCACGACTGCTTTGCCAACTTAAGACTATTTTTACAAAACTATTATGTTATATTGGTCAGTATTATCCCTACTTGTCTACATCAATGGTGGGTATGAAATTACATACGTGCAATTTTTATCAGTAAACGTCCCGTTTGTCCACGTTTCACGCCAGTTATGTAAAAAACACACACGAGTTTGTGGCATCATGTCATACATTTGTTAGATTTGTTGTTTAAAATTCAGTTTCTTTCCTTATTATGCACCCCATACTCATCCCGTGGTGTAAAGGATTACAGGCAAGGAAACCGTTTTACAAAGGTTCCTTCGAGTCCTGTGCGAATAATACTAAGCGATATGAATGCAAGTCTTCACGCTTTTGCAGATTTAAATTTTTGCCTCGAGGGGAGAGTTTATTGGGCAGCGCCACCATCTTGTGAGTGGACACCATGTAACAGGCAGCCAGCAGTGGTACTTTACAAGAATGAGAGGTTACCTGGGCGGTGTATCACTGCCTATGATCCGCTCACTCACTACTCGCCTGGTTTACTTGGCTGTTAAGCCCAGCAACTTTCCTTCCTACGTATTATTAAAGCCAATTTGAACGGGTATCCTTTAGAGACTTACAAAATTCTTTTGAAACATGGGTCGGGAAGTCAGGTATCATGTTCAGAGAGCGTGTCAAGTTGTGGAGTCCTTAATGCGAATCAAATTGCCTCACCGTAACCATTTCACAGTTTTGCATATTCTGCCATGCCCGTTTTCTCAAGATAAAAAAAATGTAGATATTTTAGTGTGCAGACTTCAACCAGCACACACATTTAAGTACATTAAATTAATATAGCTTAATGAAACTACATTAATGCTCCGTAAGCGAGACACTAACCAGTATTTTTCAGAAAGACATTGTTTAATCTGCAGATTAAAACAAGTCGAGAACATGCCAATCTAATAATTGGTGGTTAGACAGTTTTATGAGGGTGGTTCAGTTTTAAATGGCAAGGTGATGTTCCAGCAATGTCGTCGTGTACACTTTTCATGGATCAAGTTTTAAGAAAAAGCGAGATTTTCTTTTAATCGGTTTTATTAAACAGTTTGAGGTTGGTGGGTGGAGCCGGAGTAGAGCAAGGCGCTCACTCCGCCCTCGCCTATACAAGCTTAACATTAATGTTGATCGATACACCTGCAGGCTTATATAATATTTAAAATATTTATACAAATTTTAAAATTACGGAATTACTATAATACAATTTTTACATTAAAATTCAGAATATACATTAAAACTTAGCAGGCTCCGTTAAAGCTTCAATATCACCGCGAGCTAATGGTATGTACAGTAGTCAGAAATGCATCCCCCCCCCCCAGGCCATTTGGAAAGGGCATGGGCCAGTAGTTAGAAATGGCCGGACCCACGGCGGGACCATGGGTCGGGCCACTAGGAGGAGTAATGGTCATTTCCAAATTCTTGGACAAGGATCGATTTAATGGCTAGACTGGGCTATGGGCCGGAACCCAGAGAAGCCGCGGGTACCGTCTGGACCCCGCGGGACGCGTGTGATGCTCAGGGGGGCGACAGTCTCCTTTCGCCGGGAGGAGGCCGGGGAGGACGGCACGGACCTGCTGCTGCCAACAAGATTTTGGCTAGTCCGGTGTGGTAGTGGCTGGCGGTTGTCGGGACGTGACCCATGGCGCCACCTCTTCCGTCCACTGGCTCCCTCATCACATTCAGAGGCACTGGACTCCACTATGCGTCTCTGTTGGTACTTAACCGGCCCTACCTTCAGCCGCTCCCGCAGAGCCTCGGCACACACCCCACCATCAGACTTTCGTCGCCCCTTCGGAGTGAGAGTGGGTGTTGGTGTGGTCAAGGTCCTGTTGACCTGCGCGGAACTGCGGCGTGAACGATGCAAGACGTGGAGGGTCATGGGTGGGTCGACCACCTCGTGGAAAGCACGGGCAGCACCCCATACGTCTTCGTACTCTACCACAGCGCAGGTAGTACTGGCCACCTCGGACACGCGAGACAGTAATGACTGCAGCTCCGGGGCCACGCCGCCACCGTCAGGCTTGGGACGGAAGACCTGCAGGGAGGCAACAGTACCGTAAGTGCTGAAGAGTGTGGCCAGGCTCGCCATAGAGGCCTGCGGGGCGGGAATATTCACGGCCACTATGGTGCGCGAAGTGAGCACATCTTTGCGCAGCGTGAGTGGCAAGGGCACCTTCCGCTTGACCTTGGTGCCCTCTGCATTAACATGCAACACCGTAGAAGTTCTCAGCGCCGCTGCCAACACTCGCCAGTCACGCGAGATAGTCTTTATCCTCTTGTAACCGGCGAGCAGCTTTAGAGAAACAAATCCTTCTCGCTGACGTTTGACATGCTTTAGCAAGAACAGGTCCTTGGCGAGGCTGCAGTCGCTGAAGTAGGTCTCTACCTGTTTAACAAGCGCAGCGACCAACTCCGGCGCCAGGGACGATACGTCCACCGCCGGCAGTGGCTCGCCCCCTTCACTAGTGCAGTCCGAGCCCACGTCCGTGGAGGCCAGCGACTCCATGGTCGTCACTGAGACCGCGGTGGCCCGACTCGCGCCTTCATCCTCGTCCTCCTCGCTGGTGCTGTGGATGAGGAAGTGCGGCCCGTCGCTCTCAGACGACGTGAAGTACACCTCATGCTGGCGAGCCTCGCTGCTGTCTTCGGTGTCGGCCTCTGACATGACTAGCGCCGTGCGTGACTCCTGACGGTGCACCTCACCAGGGGCTGGCCGCGCACACACTGGCTCCCGCCCCACCACCGTCCACGTTGTGGGCGCCATCCTCAAGCCTTACAACCGCCCTCGCTGCTGCTTGCTTGTTACCACACACCTAACACCACTTGCAGTGTTTCAGGGGCGTTGTGCGCTGCTTTTGGCCCGGCTGACTGTGATATTGTGACGACGACACCTGCTGACACATGTATATATATACCCCGTCACAGTCTTCCTCACGGTGGCGTCAGCCAGGTAGATAAGATGCGTACGTGTAGTGTCATGAGCACTACTTCCGGTACTGGCTGGCGTCCGGGCCTCGAGGTCACGGTGGTCTGGGGGGGGAGGGGTGTAGCGGCGGTCTGGGGAGGGGGTGTAGCAGTGGTTTGGGGGGGGGGTCTGGGGAGGGGGTGTAGCAGTGGTTTGGGGGGGGTCTGTGGGTGTAGCGGTGGTGTTGCGCTACACCCCTCCCCCCCCCTATGTATACACCGATACATTACATAGTCTTGGGTACAGGTCCACAATATCAAGTGTTCCAGTAGTCACATAATAATTACAGAGTTCAGTATATCTTAACCCAGGGGGGGGGGCGGAAGTGTGACAATATCAGACATTCTACAATACAACCCTGAAAATAATACCATAAAACCCTGGGAATAATACAATACAACCCTGGGAATAATACAATACAACCCAGGAAATAATACAATACAACCCTGGGAATAATACAATACAACCCAGGAAATAATACAATACAACCCTGGGAATAATACAATACAACCCTGGGAATAATACAATACAACCCTGGGAATAATACAATACAACCCAGGAAATAATACAATACAACCCTGGGAATAATACAATACAACCCTGGGAATAATACAATACAACCCTGGGAATAATACAATACAACCCTGGGAATAATACAATACAACCCTGGGAATAATACAATACAACCCTGGGAATAATACAATACAACCCTGGGAATAATACAATACAACCCTGGGAATAATACAATACAACCCTGGGAATAATACAATACAACCCTGGGAATAATACAATACAACCCTGGGGGAATAATACAATACAACCCTGGGAATAATACAATACAACCCAATACAACCCTGGGAATAATACAATACAACCCTGGGAATAATACAATACAACCCTGGGAATAATACAATACAACCCTGGGAATAATACAATACAACCCAGGAAATAATACAATACAACCCTGGGAATAATACAATACAACCCTGGGAATAATACAATACAACCCTGGGAATAATACAATACAACCCTGGGAATAATACAATACAACCCTGGGAATAATACAATACAACCCTGGGAATAATACAATACAACCCAGGAAATAATACAATACAACCCTGGGAATAATACAATACAACCCTGGGAATAATACAATACAACCCTGGGAATAATACAATACAACCCTGGGAATAATACAATACAACCCTGGGAATAATACAATACAACCCTGGGAATAACAATACAACCCTGGGAATAATACAATACAACCCTGGGAATAATACAATACAACCCTGGGAATAATACAATACAACCCTGGGAATAATACAATACAACCCTGGGAATAATACAATACAACCCTGGGAATAATACAATACAACCCTGGAAATAATACAATGGGAATAATACAATACAACCCTGGGAATAATACAATACAACCCTGGGAATAATACAATACAACCCTGGGAATAATACAATACAACCCTGGGAATAATACAATACAACCCTGGGAATAATACAATACAACCCTGGGAATAATACAATACAACCCTGGGAATAATACAATACAACCCTGGGAATAATACAATACAACCCTGGGAATAATACAATACAACCCTGGGAATAATACAATACAACCCTGGGAATAATACAATACAACCCTGGGAATAATACAATACAACCCTGGGAATAATACAATACAACCCTGGGAATAATACAATACAACCCTGGGAATAATACAATACAACCCTGGGGGAATAATACAATACAATACAACCCTGGGAATAATACAATACAACCCTGGGAATAATACAATACAACCCTGGGAATAATACAATACAACCCTGGGAATAATACAATACAACCCTGGGAATAATACAATACAACCCTGGGAATAATACCAACCCTGGGAATAATACAATACAACCCTGGGAATAATACAATACAACCCTGGGAATAATACAATACAACCCTGGGAATAATACAATACAACCCTGGGAATAATACAATACAACCCTGGGAATAATACAATACAACCCTGGGAATAATACAATACAACCCTGGGAATAATACAATACAACCCTGGGAATAATACAATACAACCCTGGGAATAATACAATACAACCCAGGAAATAATACAATACAACCCTGGGAATAATACAATACAACCTGGGAATAATACAATACAACCCTGGGAATAATACAATACAACCCTGGGAATAATACAATACAACCCTGGGAATAATACAATACAACCCAGGGAATAATACAATACAACCCTGGGAATAATACAATACAACCCTGGGAATAATACAATACAACCCTGGGAATAATACAATACAACCCTGGGAATAATACAATACAACCCTGGGAATAATACAATACAACCCTGGGAATAATACAATACAACCCTGGGAATAATACAATACAACCCTGGGAATAATACAATACAACCCTGGGAATAATACAATACAACCCTGGGAATAATACAATACAACCCAGGAAATAATACAATACAACCCTGGGAATAATACAATACAACCCTGGGAATAATACAATACAACCCTGGGAATAATACAATACAACCCTGGGAATAATACAATACAACCCAGGAAATAATACAATACAACCCTGGGAATAATACAATACAACCCTGGGAATAATACAATACAACCCTGGGAATAATACAATACAACCCTGGGAATAATACAATACAACCCTGGGAATAATACAATACAACCCTGGGAATAATACAATACAACCCTGGGAATAATACAATACAACCCTGGGAATAATACAATACAACCCTGGGAATAATACAATACAACCCTGGGAATAATACAATACAACCCAGGAAATAATACAATACAACCCAGGAAATAATACAATACAACCCTGGGAGGAAATAATACAATGGGACAACCCCTGGGAATAATACAATACAACCCAGGAAATAATACAATACAACCCAGGTAATAATACAATACAACCCTGGGAATAATACAATACAACCCAGGAAATAATACAATACAACCCAGGAAATAATACAATACAACCCTGGGAATAATACAATACAACCCTGGGAATAATACAATACAACCCTGGGAATAATACAATACAACCCTGAGAATAATACAATACAACCCAGGAAATAATACAATACAACCCTGGGAATAATACAATACAACCCTGGGAATAATTAAACGTGTCTTTGCCTTTAAAGAAAAGAATGTAGTCATTTAGTTGCATGTAAGACTGTGATGCATGTAAGACTGTGATGCATGTAAGACTGTGATGCATGTAAGACTGTGTTGCATGTAAGACTGTGATGCATGTAAGACTACCTGTGAAAGTCTTCCTTTCTTCAGAAAGACGCAGCTTCACTGGAGAAAGTTCAACACCGAGCAACAACAATAATACCAGAACCAAGTCAACTCTCGCATCAGGAACGGTTGAGGGCCACAGGACTAACAACACTACAAGCCAGACATGACAGGGCGGCTCTCGCCGAAACATTCAAAATACTGAACAATTACTGAACAAACTAGCTCTATCTATAAATCCATCAATCTTTGTAAAATCTCTTGTATGTATGTACCTTACCTAAATAAACATTTATTTATTTATTTATTTATTTATAATATGGAGGATGTTGATCCAGACAATTTCTTCAGAAGATCAGACGTAACACAAACAAGGAGCAACGGTGTCAAGCTCAACAAGCCACAATGTAGGAGTGAGAACAGGCGATGCTTTTTCACCCATAGGGTTAGTAACCTATGGAACCGCCTACCCGCCCAACCTGTAAATGCCAAAATTCTGCCGAACTTTAACATCCAGCTGTTGTGCTTGCGGGGGGTTGAGCTCCACTCTTTCGGCCCGCCTCTCAACTGTCAATCAGCTGTTACTAACTAATTTTATTGTTCACACACCCAGGAAGCAGCCCGAAACAGCTGTCCAACTCCCAGGTACCTATTTATTGCTAGGTAACAGGGAGGGGGGGGGGGATCAGTGTGAAAGAAACTCTGCCCATTGTTTCTCACCGGCGCCGGGAATCGAACCCCGGACCACAGGATTACGTGTGCAGCGTGCTGTCCACTCAGCCACCAACTCTACCTACCTGGCGTGGAGGTGACACAGGTGACACGTGTGACATAGGTGACACATGTGACACAGTATCAAGGATAGGTCAGTGGCACGCGGCCCCGCCATCACACTGGGTTATCTTGAGGTTATCTTGAGATGATTTCGGGGCTTTAGTGTCCCCGCGGCCCGGTCCTCGACCAGGCCTCCACCCCCAGGAAGCAGCCCGTGACAGCTGACTAACTCCCAGGTACATATTTACTGCTAGGTAACAGGGGCATTCAGGGTGAAAGAAACTTTGCCCATTTGTTTCTGCCTCGTGCGGGAATCGAACCCGCGCCACAGAATTACGAGTCCTGCGCGCTATCCACCAGGCTACGAGGGTGTTGATACATTGGATACAGCTGCCCTCAGGGGCGAGGTCCAGCACGTGTCCTCAGGCCACACGTCACGTGTTTGGCAGTCACCCGGTACACATGTGTACCAGTGAGGTGTGCGTCACCCGGTACACATGTGTACCAGTGAGGTGTGCGTCACCCGGTACACATGTGTACCAGTGAGGTGTGCGTCACCCGGTACACATGTGTACCAGTGAGGTGTGCGTCACCCGGTACACATGTGTACCAGTGAGGTGTGCGTCACCCGGTACACATGTGTACCAGTGAGGTGTACGTCACCCGGTACACATGTGTACCAGTGAGGTGTACGTCACCCGGTAC